CTCCTCGTCGCGCGGATCGTTTACACACTTGCACGGATCGAAAATAACAGGGAAGACTGGCCCTAATCATCCTTGTACCAAGGCCACAAAGTAACCACGAAAAAAAAAGGAACAACAATAAACGCTCTTTCTTCATCCCACGCGTCTAGTTGACAACTCTAGACACACAAAAAACACACGACTGGGATTCGAAGGATAGGGCTTGTCCTCCGGGTTGCTTCGGGGAAAATTGCTTGCCCAGTAACCAAGCAGTAAGCTCCGCAAAAATTCATCTACCGAACGATCGGGAATGAAGTGGACGTAGCAGCAGCATAATCCACACCTGGCTTGTCTCAGTTGCCCTTTGACTGCAATCGGCGCCCTTTCTCCGCCATTGTCTTCCAGCCGATTTTCCCAGCGTATTAGCCTCCCTTTGTACTTCCTTGACGATCGCCCCCCGATCCGCTCCCGTGCCTCTCATTCCCTAATTTTCTTATTTTCGACGATAACTCGGGCTCTTCTACATTATCGATCATTTCGCAACAACCCCAAAGATGGCATCGAATCTACGGCTTCAGCCACGGTATGCCGACCTAGCTTAACAGTCTTTTCTTCACTTGCCTATTGAACCATTTCTCCTTCTCCTACCATGTCCTTTCTCCACCAACAGTTAGCATCTTGGCTAACAGCTCTTTGGCAAACCAGGCGGGAATACCACATCGTCGTGCTGGGCGCTGGTAGGCAATTCATTCATTGTTTTATGCATATGCTCCTCAATTGACTGACGAAACATTGATTGCGTGCTCTAGGCGGTGTCGGGAAAAGTTGTTTAACAGGTACGGGGCTACCGGTTTTTGTTCGATCGCGTTTCTGTTCAAACTGTGCTCCAGATTCCCCGGAATTGAACCGTGCAGCAAGCTTTTGCGCTGTGTTTTGCTCGTGCACGGTCGGCCTAACATGCTTTTCCTATAGCGCAGTTCGTCTCAAACATGTGGATTGAAAATTATGATCCCACGATCGAAGATTCGTACCGTAAACACCTTGAAGTTGATGTACGTCTGCTCTGTATCAATGCTCTCGATAGAGACACCCCAAATTAACCTGAAATCACAGGGCCGACATTGCCTCTTAGAAATGTAGGTAGCAACCTTACCCTTTAAAATAACTATTTGGGAAGCTTGGTCTTCCCATCACAGCCCATTTTCCACATATCGGCCATAGCTTGAGCCACAAGCTGATTGCTTATTTGAATTGCAGCTTAGACACTGCTGGAACAGAACAATTCAGTAAGTCCTTCCACAATTGGAGTCCCTACTAAGTTTTTGGTGAAGCCGTGACTAACCTGATTGTATTAGCTGCCATGAGGTACTTTCCCCTCTTCTTATGTTCTCCGACGAAAAAGTCCTATTCTATCGGACGTGACTTGAGCTAACAGATTACCGGTCAGGGAATTATATATGAAGCAGGGGTGAAGGATTCCTCCTAGTATTTTCGATCACGAGCATGTCCTCCCTCGAGGAACTAGCCGAACTCCGAGAACAGATCATTCGCATCAAAGACGACGAGAACGTCCCCATCGTGATCGTGGGAAACAAGTCTGACCTAGAAGAAGACCGTGCAGTGTCGCGGTCAAAGGCATTCCAGCTCTCGCAGCAATGGGGTAATGCCCCATATTACGAAACATCTGCCCGGAGGAGAGCCAATGTTGATGAAGCTTTCATTGATCTCTGCCGTCAAATCATACGAAGAGATATCCAATCAACGAAAGATCGAAACCGAGATCAGGCTTCGGGGAGGGGGAAAGATGGCCACAAACGAAGTAAGAAGCCAAACAGGAAAAAGGGGAAGCGGCCCGACTGCGTCATCCTTTGAATTTGTGCTTGAATACTTTTTGTTTCTGTTTTTTATTTTATTTTTTTTTTCTTCCACCGGTTTGCAACCCGACCTTCTTGAGACATCTATTCTCCTCCCATAAGTTTCGCCTTGATATACACTAAGCTCGACGCGCAACCGTATCTCTATCATTTATTGCTTTTTGGGGGCCCAGCAGCCGCCGGATATATCCTTCACGCCCTATGCCGTTGATCAGATTCACGGGTATATATTCTCGCTTTTTATATTCTTTCGTCAAAAGAAAAGTTTCCTTGGATAAATCTATCGTTTTGGTTTTTGCTTTTATCTGGGCCATACAGGCGCATACCAAAACGGAAAAAAAGCTGGTAATGGTTCGCCATGTTTTGGATGCTTTGGACTTCCAATGTATATTCCTTATATTCTTCTTTTTTTTTCCCCTTCAAGGGCCCCCTGATGTCGCCGCCCTGATTTATTCATAGTCTACCATGGTTTGCATCCTTTTCCTGTTCGATACTTCAGTGGGAAAAAAATATTTTCCTTTCATTTCTAGTGTTCTAGTTTCTTTTCCTTCTTTTCACCCTTGTAAGAAATTTATATACTAAGACTTGACTTTTCCCCTGCTTCGCCTTTCATGACAAGTGTCGGTTTTGCGGGCCCCCTTCCATGATCCGGCTATGTTTTTTCCTTTTTGGCGACAGCCCTCTTCATTAGCCTCCCGAAGGTTTGCCTTCTTGGGAAATATGTAATGACCCGTCTCTTCATTCAAGGCACCATGACACTAATCTCCATTTGATCTTGAATTCGTTGACCATCCGTTAATCATTCGAAGGGGTGAGGTCCCATTCTACCGTGCGAGTGTGGCAACTCATTTCGAAACGAAATCATACGACGAACTATCCGTCCAGACGAGCTTCTGGTCAAGATAGCCGAGAGACTCCCCAGCTCTGGGGGATCAAGACGCAAGCCGTGTGGAGACAGTTGCATGGGGGGGGGAAAACGCACTGACATCCATTTTACTTTTCTGTCCATCCTGCAAACACACGACAAGGATGTTCTGCAGCTCAAAACCTGACCAATGGACCAATGCGCGCTGCAGCTTGCATGACAGCTTGGTACTGCATGTCTAATTGGACGGTGGCAATTCGGAACCGCCAGCCATGCAGAAGCTTGAATCGTCTGTGTTCTCTGTTGCTTGCCGGAGTGGGATTTCCGGAAAAGAAAATATAAACAGTTCTGGACATTCTGTCCGTGTGTGTGTGGACGGACTATAACCGAGATTTTGACAACCAATTCGCATATACATTTCACACCCTCCCGGTAAGTCTACATGCAAACATAAGAAATAGGCAAAGCAACGGATAAAGAGCCGATAACCAAACGACGGGGGATAAAAAAGTACACCCTTGCAGCCTCCCTCTTTCATCAACGGCTATGTTCATATCATATCAACAATTCCCCCAATTTTTACATTCTGAACACACCAAACTTCGTCTTCACATCCTCAGCTCTTCCACCCAACGACGCTGCCAAGCTCAAGCCCAGGATTCTCCTCGTGTGCGCTGGCGGAATGACTCCGTCGTCCCACAGCCGTGCAGAAGAGAAGATGGCTTCTGACTCTGCGTCAATGCGGGCTTTGAGGTTCGGATCGGCGGTTTTGCCGACTGCAGCCATCACAGCGGACAGCTGCTCGGAGCCCATGACGCCGATTTTGGCGTTGGGCCACATGTAGAGGAAACGAGGAGAGTAAGCGCGGCCACTAGGAGAAGAAGTTTGTCAGTTCACTTTACTTTATTTTTTTTTTTCCGTCTCTTTTTTGGTGTAGAGGGGTGAAAAATGAGAAATGAGCGGAAAAGGCCGCATATTGGCCCCCAAAGAGGCTGAGAGGCCGGGAATCAAAAAACGTACCACATTCCGTAATTCCCCGCGCCGGCGCTAGAGCCAAAGACTACTGTGAACTTGGGGACATCTGCACACGCCACGGCGGTGACGAGCTTGGCTCCGTTCTTTGCGATACCACCTTTTTCAGCGTCTGCACCAACCATGAAGCCCGAGATATTCTGCAGAAACACCAACGGGATATTTCTTTGAGCACAGAGCTCGATGAAATGTGCGCCCTTGAGCGACGATTCGGAGAACAAAATTCCGTTGTTAGCAACGATGCCGACCTGGGTGCCGTATATGCGGGCAAAGCCGGTGACCAAGGTTGAGCCGTAATCGCGCTTAAATTCGGCGAATTCGCTCCCGTCGACAATGCGAGCGATGACCTCGTGGGCTGGGAGCTGACGGCGAAGATTGGTGCCTACGATCCCAGACAGTTCCTCCGGGTCGTACAGAGGCTCTTTGAATTGAGAGGTTGACGGCGAGAGAAGTGGGAAGGTGGATTTGGGATAGTTGAGGTTAGAGATGGACCTGCGGGCGAGGACGAGGGCGTGCGCATCGTCGACGGCGAGATAGTCTGTAACACCGGAGATCGAGCTGTGAAGCTTTCCGCCGCCGAGGTCTTCAGCGGAGACGACTTCACCGGTTGCGGCTTTGACGAGCGGTGGGCCTGCAAGGAAAATGGTTCCCTGATTCTCGACGATGATGGTTTCGTCGCTCATGGCGGGAACATACGCACCACCGGCGGTGCAAGGGCCCATGACAACGGAAATCTGAGGGATACCTAGAGAGCTCATCCGGGCCTGATTGAAGAAAATGCGGCCAAAGTGGTCCCTGTCGGGGAAAACATCTGCTTGATGAGGCAAATTGGCACCGCCAGAGTCAACAAGGTAGATGCAAGGTAGCTTATTCTCCTGCGCAATTGCTTGAGCGCGTAGATGCTTCTTTACAGTGATCGGGAAATATGTTCCTCCCTTCACGGTGCTGTCGTTTGCCACAATCATGCATGTCACCCCTTCCACGGTGCCAATGCCTGTGATTATGCCTCCAGAGGGAACCTCATCGGCCCCATACATCTGATGGCCAGCCAGCGGCGAGAGTTCAAGAAATGACGTGCCGGGGTCAACCAAGGCTGTGACCCGATCGCGAGGCAGCATCTTCCCCCTCGCGATGTGCTTCTCATGGGCTTTTTGTGGTCCGCCTTTGGCGATTTTAGCATGCAGCTCCGACATCTTCGCTAGTAGATCGTTCATCTGTTCCGCATTTTGCTTAAAATCTGGAGACGATGTGTCCACTGCAGTCGGCAAGACGGATATGGCTGATGCTTGGTGGGCATGTGTGTAGCTTGCGACGGAGCGGGACGAATGTTGGAGGATAAAGTAGGCATTGGGTCGTTGCCGTCTTAGGGTGAAATGGGCATTGGCTGAGAGAGCACATCGAAGACTCCTGAGGAGCTTGGTAGAGGGAGCTGCAGCCATGTTGCCTGTTGCTGAGTATCCAACAGTCTGAATGGCGCGGAGTGGAGAGATTGGGGCGGAGTGTCGAAACGGCGGCGGAGAGTTCAAGCAGAAACCAACACTTGGAGCATCTCCCAGATCAGGGGAAGAAACTGTCTAATAACGCCGGCGTATCTTCAGCGATCCCGTTCAAGAAAATTTTCAAGATGTCATCGTCGTGTCGCTCTCTCCGACCGGTCTGCCAGCGATCAGAAGCGACGGGCGGTGTTTGTCGTGTTTGCCTGCCGCATCGGCGAGAATAGCCGCGAGCAGCCGGCACCCCGGGCCCGATCGAGAAAGTATGCCGGGCGCTGCGGGCACTCCCCAATACCAAAATTACATACAGAAATGGACTTTGGTCGATCGGCCTTGGGCTTGCGACTGCTTGCCATCTTGTTTTCCCATCTCGTTTTCTGCTTGGTGATAACAATCGACATTCGTGTGCAAAATGGCTTCTCCTTGTCTTCCACGGCTCTTTGGCCGGACTGCTAGAACCCTTTGCAGGCCCAGACGGCAGCTTGTCCCTCTGTCGTCGTGGCGGGCAGCTTCCACCAAACATCCCCAGGGCTTTACTCCCCCGACGGAAGAGGATCTTGTGGAATTGAGAGAAAGAGTCCAGGAGTTTACAAGTGAGCTTGGCAACTTGCACCTTAACAGAAGCTGGATGCTGACTGTGGACCGCAGGACGTGAAATTCCTGAAGAGGTCGCCGCAAAGACCGATGCCGAGAATAACTTCCCTCCGGAGATGTGGCAGAAATTGGGCGAAGCTGGGTTTCTCGGAGTAACTGCGGATGAGCAATACGGCGGTTTGTCGATGGGTTACCAAGCCCACTGCATTGTTCTGGAGGAGATGAGCCGTGCTTCTGGGAGCATTGCTCTGTCCTACGCCGCTCACTCCCAACTTTGCGTCAACCAGCTGTCTCTGAATGGAACTCCTGAGCAAAAAGCGAAATATCTGCCCGGTTTGATATCAGGAGAGAAAATTGGTGCTCTGGCCATGTCTGAACATTCAGCTGGATCTGATGTTGTAAGCATGAAAACGACCGCCAAGGCTGTGGACGGCGGATACATCCTCAACGGCACCAAGATGTGGATTACAAACGGCCCTGATGCGGACTATATCGTTGTTTATGCCAAAACCGAGCCCACCGGCGGCTCAAAGGGCATCACCGCTTTTATTGTCGAAACTACATCCAAGGGATTTTCCTGTGCACGAAAATTGGACAAATTAGGAATGCGAGGCTCAAACACCGGTGAACTGATCTTTGAAGACCTCTTTGTACCAAAGGAGAATGTTCTCGGAACAGTTAACCGTGGAGTCAAAGTTCTGATGGAAGGATTAGATTTGGAACGCTTGGTGCTGAGTGCCGGGCCTCTGGGGTAAGGAGTCTCAACTGTTATACAAATTCATGGGTATGTGCTAACATTCACATAGCATCATGCAAGCTGCCCTTGACCTCGTCCTCCCCTACACCCACACTCGCAAGCAATTCAACACCCCCATCGCCCACAACCAACTCGTCCAGGGCAAGCTGGCAGATATGTACACCAAGCTCGCCGCATCACGCGCGTACACTTACAACACTGCCCGGCAAATTGATAACTCGGCCGATTCCCCTGAAGGCCCTCAAATCCGCACCCAGGACTGCGCGGGAGCCATTCTCTACGCGGCTGAACGTGCGACTGAGTGTACTTTGGATGCAATCCAGCTGATGGGCGGCACCGGATATATCAATGAGATTCCCGCCGGTAGATTGCTGAGAGATGCAAAGCTTTACGAGATTGGCGCGGGAACAAGTGAGATTCGACGAATGGTTATTGGTCGGGCGTTTAACAAGGAGTATGCTTAAGACATCGGGAGCTGTTCCTCATAGTAAATGATACCTGCGCTTAAAGTCGTCCGCGTTGGGGATTCGTGTATAAAATTTATAGCCTAGTTTTGCAATGAATTAGATTTGTTGATAGACTGGATGTTCCTTTTGTATTGAATGTCGCCCTAGCAATACACATAAAATTATACTGTGATAACGCTTAACAAAAGCACTGTTAATATCCGTGGCACGCAGCCCCATAAAAGGTATCTTAGCACTACTTCTTCCGTTCTCTTAAACACCGCTTGTTCTCTACTGACGTTGACGACCGTGAAACTTTTGCCGCGGGTGCCTTTTGAGATGCAGCTTCCCCCATTTTTGCTGGCCTTCCTCTCTTCCTCGCTGCTTTCCCCTCCTCTTGTTCGGCCAAGTCTGAAGGACTAGCCTTTCTCTTCTTCCCATAGTGACGAGGCAGCTGCTTCTCACTTGATACAGAGTCGTCAGCGAGAAAATGATAGCTAGACTCGGGGCGCTTGGGAGGACCCACAAGGACCTGTATCCCTTGACGAGGCTGTGGATCCGGTGAATCTGCACTTCCGTTGGTTGTTTTTCTTCGTTCTGAGGTGACATCCGGAGGCGGGGATCGCGAAGCCTCAGTATCAGCGCTTGATGGCGGTGTAATGTCTTCGACAGCGGTCATCTGTTTCAGTCGAGAAGAAGGTTTGTGGGACGTGCGCTTAGACTGAAAGGTATGTTTGCAAGGTTCAGACGAAATTCCGCTAGCGCTCTCCAAATCTTCATGTGCAGCATCGTTAAAATGGAGTGGAGGAGGGGTATATGCACTCCGGCCTATGAGAGAATATGGTGATTCGCCTGTTTCGGCATCGTCCTCGACGCATTCATCCTCACAGAGGGAAGGGGCGGAATCGTAAATCTCAGGTTTGAGGGATGAGATTTGGTCGTGAAGATGATTATTCGTTTTTGGGAGGCCTGGCATGTGAGTTGTTGAATGGTTGGCGTGGATAGAAGGGGATTTAGGTTCGGGATAGGTGAACAATTCACGCCAATTTCGTAGTAGAGAGACTGTCTCACCCATACCCGGTTCGTATAACTCCTCCCGCCGTAAAGAATGAGAAGGCGTTCGCCAAACAACGCCGCGGAAGGAATTGATGTCCGGATAAAGCCCTTTGACGCCTTTCGGTGGTCGCCCGTCCTGGTCAACAGAAAACCGCTTTCGTTTTGTGCCAGGGGTTTTACTGTTGCTGTTCATAGATGTCCCTTCCTGCCGGTTAACAATTGATGGATCGTCATCGTAGTACTCATCGGTGTAGTAATCCCAGTCCGAGTCGCTTTCCAGGGCAGCATACAATGCCTGATCGGTTAGATAGACCGGCGAATGGATGGTGCCATTAGCAAGATCATCCTATCATATGATTAGACGAGAAACAGATAATGGTGCGAGGAAGAAGCTACCTACAACAATGTCCGCATCTCCCTCGTCCCAGAAAAGCCATTCTCCGTCATAGCCCTCGTCATAGTAATCCTCTTCGTCAGACATTATCGCTATATGTCGGGTCAATCGAAAATTGAAACTGAGCCCAAGTCTTCCAGTAGATATCGTTTAAAGAGCTCAAGTCGCTACAGCACCAGAGAAAAAGGGTATTTCAACTTCAGCGCGCCATTCGACCCGCTAGTTATGGCTCATGTGTTTCACGACGGAATGCGGGGTTGAGCTCGTTGAATTTGCTTCCCCGCCAATTCAGGGGAGTAGGGGATCTCAACGTTTTTCTTCCAATGGCGTCGTTAAGAGAGAGAGAGAGAGTACGCTGTCTTGATAGCAGATCGCCGGTGCAGTCGACGCCAACACTGAGAGATCGCGGCTGTTGGCCATCGCTGCTTCTCGAGTTCGAAGCCTGACGTAGGACACAGCACGTGATACCGAATGTGGCTGGAAGGGGCAGGTGTGCCGAGAGCGGTGCTCGTCTCGTAACGCCATTACGTCAGGGCTGTAATTATCGGGTCCCCACACCGAGACTCGCTTTCCGTCGGCACCAACTTTATCTGATCAGCCCGGCCAAGCGATCAACAAGCGGTCTCTCGGGACTTTTGGGCGCAGGACCAGCGAATCTTCGGGGGAAGCAAGCGGAAAAAATTGAAAACCTGCAACCTATTTCTGAGTGGGAGGATGATTCTACCTTGATATCATATTTCCTGAGATTGTTTCAAGCTGTCCCTCATTCCAGTCGAGTCCGATGTCTTTGCAATCCTTCATATCCCGCCTTCCTCCCGCCACCAAGCTCAGCCGAAAGGCACTTCTCAGATCCGTCGCGAGGCACTCGTCGTCACTGTCGAGTTCCGCCGGTCGTGATGGGACAGCTCTGGGTTCCATTCTGATTGCCAATCGTGGCGAGATTGCGCTGTATTCTCCCCTCCGCTATCAGCTATCGGGTTGGGAACTAAAACTGACTTCTGATCAGACGAGTAGGACGGACGGCTGGCCAACATGGCGTCCGGGTAACCACCTTATATACCGATCCAGATGCTCACTCCCAACATGCATTGAGCTCTCCGTTTGCTTACAATCTGGGCGAGACGTCCGCATACCTTGACGGGGACCGGATAATTGAGATCGCGAAGCGCGAAGGCTGCAAAGGCATCCATCCTGGTTATGGCTTTGTATGGCACTACTCCCTACATTCTTCGACTGTGAACTCAAACTTGGTTCGCTGACTGTACGATAGCTAAGTGAAAATGCTGGCTTCGCCCAAAAATGCACCCAGGCTGGCCTTGTATTCATTGGCCCGCCATGGAAAGCTATTGAAGCTATGGGAGATAAAAGGTACGCTCCGCATTCTTGATATTTGTATGTCTCTTTTATGACTTGGCTGCTGAATGCAATACGTAGCCGATCCAAGGAAATCATGACCGCGGCCGGTGTGCCTTGTGTGCCTGGTTACCATGGGGCAAACCAGGATCCAGACTTTCTCCAACAAGAAGCGGATAAGATTGGATACCCAGTTCTAATCAAGGCGATTAAAGGAGGCGGAGGCAAGGGTATGCGTATTTGTAGTTCGAAGGAGACTTTCCAAGACCAGCTCATGTCTGCAAAATCGGAGTCGAGGAATTCGTTCGGCGACGACCAAGTTTTGATCGAAAAGTACATCACGACGCCGCGACATATCGAAGTGCAGGTATTTGCAGATAAACATGGAAATTGCGTAGCCTTGGGCGAAAGAGATTGCAGCATCCAGCGCCGACATCAAAAGATCTTGGAAGAATCGCCCGCTCCACACCTGCCACAAGCTACGAGAAAGGACATCTGGGAGAAGGCTAGAGCTGCGGCCTTGGCCGTGGGCTATGAAGGTGCGGGAACAGTTGAATTTATATTCGACAATGATACCGGAGAGTTCTTCTTTATGGAAATGAATACGCGCCTGCAAGTTGAGCATCCAGTCACTGAAATGGTTACTGGGCAGGATCTCGTCCACTGGCAACTGTTAGTTGCCGAAGGCGCACCTTTGCCTCTAACGCAGGAAGAAATTGAGGCCAAGATCGCTAGCAGCGGACACGCGATCGAAGCCCGAATCTATGCTGAAAACCCGGAGCAAGGGTTCGTACCTGATTCTGGCCGTCTTATTCATGTTCGCACTCCAAAACCTACCGAAGATGTCAGAATTGATGCAGGCTTTGTCGCCGGTGACGAAGTCTCTTCGCACTATGACCCTATGATATCTAAGTTGATTGTTAGAGGAGCGGACCGAGCGGAGGCTCTCCGAATCCTTGCTGCTGCTCTCGAACAGTACGAAGTTGCCGGACCCATGACCAATATCGAGTTCATTAAGCGAGTATGCCGGAGCGCAGATTTCGCTGCAGGTGAGGTCGAAACCGGGTATATTGAAAAGCACCGTGACGAGCTGTTCAGAAAGGACCCAATCGAGCCCGAAGTCCTAGCTCAGGCGAGTTTGGCGTGCTACCTTGACGGTAGTTCTGTTGGCCCAGCCGGTTCAGCCGTCGGCTTCAGCCCCGTGTACCAGCAACGGCAGTTCTCGTTTGTTCAAGCGACCGCTCCTGGGGAGCCGGAAGGGACTCGTTTCAACACCCAGATTGAGCAGACGGGACCGGATACCTTCAACATCACCGTCGATGGCAAGACGTTTACAAATGTCAGGCGACAGAGGAATACTGCCGCGAACGTGTTCACCTCGTTTTTCCCCCACACACGCCTTGATACCACCGTTGTCCGCGACGAGGATAATGTCACAGTATTCCAACGGGGACTGCAGTATCGGCTAAGAATCCCCCGTGCCAAGTGGATGGAAAAGGCACTTGGCATTAAAGACGTTGCGAACAGTGTGATTGCTCCCATGCCATGCAAGATCCTGCGAGTGGCGGTTGCAGAAGGCGACACGGTGGAGAAGGATCAGCCGTTGGTTGTGATTGAAAGCATGAAGATGGAGACTGTGATTCGAGCTCCTCATAACGGAGTGATATCGAAGGTGGTACATAAACAAGGGGTAAGCCTTTCTTTTCTCTCCCCGATGTTCATCTGCGGCAACACTAACCATTGGCGTCGCACAGGACATTTGTAAAGCGGGCACGCCGCTTGTTGAATTCGCCGGCAGTGAGGCAGCAGAGAAATAGAAATTTTGCTTCTGCGCTTTTTTTTTTTTGTTCCTTTTTTTTCCCTGTTGGTTTTTTCATGTATCGCGTCAGGTCGAGATGATAATACCTCAGTTGGGTTGGCCAGCAATATGATGGAGTTCGATGTACAGTATAAGCCAGGAGGAAGAACTAGGCGTGATTACGAAATTCAATGCTCATCAAATGTCTCAAACGCCCTGCTGGCCGTTGATGGGAGAGTATCTCCGGTGTGGCTCCAGGATGCTCTGGCATAGGCGGTCTGCCGCCAGACAAAGAATCTCGATGGCGACGGTGGAGCAGGGCCGAGAAATCCCTTCATCTCATCTGACCTATTTTTAACTAAACCGGTCCCCACAACAGTTCCCCACCGCAGCTTAAGATTGGCCCCCGGGAGCCCCGGAATCCCAGTTAAAGCTCCCTTAACAACGTGCCCTAAGCGCCTCTCTTGCCCCCGTCCTGATAAGGAGGGCTAGACCATCGTGAATTTCTAAGACATCGAGTCCATGGGCAAACAACCTCCATCAGATGACCGTAAAGGATCAGCATCGTGACTACGTGGTCCAGCTTGGGAATCTCGCTACACTGAACACTAGCCGGTTAGTCAGAAGCCTGTGGCTCGCCAGAGGGTTCAAAAGGGAAGAAAGACAGCTGTCTTCTTCGATTGAATTTTTCTTCTCAAGCTCTTCACTCTGTTTGAGTAGAAATACTCCTCGCGATTCGCAGCAGAAGCCTCTTCTTTTCTTTCCCACCATCAAGTTTGCGAATCAATTTTGTTCCTGAAGTCAAAACTTGTCGCCATCCTGGCATTGGATCTTGGATTGGGTTGCCCTAGGACCACTTTCTAGCCCTGCCTGCGTTGCCCTGATTGCTCGAAGATCATTCAACATCGTTTGATTGCAGTCAACTTGACACACTCATCAGGGTCACTGCCGTCGCACTCGCGTTTATTATTATTTTCACCGGAGAACGACCAATTGAAGCTTCTCAGGGGACATTCTACTCTCACTTATCAGAATTATCTTCCCCCGTCGTAGCTCCCGTCGGGAATGTTCAAAGCTTCCATCTACCGCCATGTTTCCCATGGCTTGACCACCTCTCTCCCTCGAATCTGTCCCGTTTCACCAGCCTACATAGCTCCCATCACATCTCGTCTCATATCCTCCACGACAACTCGCTATAATGCCTCGAAGCCCCCGGTCAAGAAGGACAATGAAGACCCCCTGAGATCAGCTTCTACGGCTGCCAGCCCTGGCGAGACTTCTGATGATCATGAAGGTCGCTACGCCCGCACAGACGAAAGTGTTCGAGTTGAATATCCGCCAGATCACGAAATGCCCCCTACTCCAGTCGTCCAGGGTCGCGGTGGAAGACACTTCAAACGAACACTGGCCTCATACTCGCTAGAAGACCGCGTTTCGGTGGTTACCGGTGGAGCAAGGGGATTGGGGCTGGTAATGGGTCAAGCACTGGTAGCATCCGGCTCGGATTTGGCGATTGTGGACTTGAACGGTATTTATTGCTCAGTTTCGTCGATATTCTCTCCTGGACCCAGGACGATGCTCTGTTGAGAATTTAGCTAACATGAAGAAATTTGATAGTCCAGGAAGCACAGGAACAAGCTAAAAACTTGCTCGATCAATTCCAAGCTGAAAATCCGGGACTTGATGAAAAGTCGCTGCCCAAAATCACTGCCCACCAGGCTGACGTTGGCAATCCGGAATCCGTAAATCGCAGCGTTGCAGAGATCCTCAAGGAGCACGGGCAAATCGATCATTTGGTCACATCTGCCGGGTTTACGGAAAATTTTGACGCGGTCTCCTACCCACACGACCGTATGCAAAGCTTTGGTCGTCAATGTCGATGGATCTACCTCTTCGCTGTCGCTATGCTAAACATCTGATGGCTCCGCAAATCTCCGGCAGCATCGTGTTTATTGGAAAGTATGTCCGGCGGATCGTCAATGTGCCCCAGCCACAGCACCATATACGCCGCAATGCTGCGATCAGCATTTAGCTGCATCTTTGGCGGTTGAATGGGCGAGTGTAGAATTCGGGTCAACTGCATCAGCCCAGGATATATGTTGACAGCCCTGTAAGACCCCCCTTCTTTTTCCCCTTCTCCCAATCGGAGATGTACACGTATTATCTCTAACGGTTGATGTTTATAGAACACGCAAGATTTTGGATGACAATCCTGATCTCAAGCAAAAATGGATCTCCCTGATCCCGCAAGGCAAAATGGGGGTTCCCGAAGACCTTATGGGCCCAGTGACCTTTTTGTTGAGCGATGCGAGCAAATACGTTACTGGAGCGGATCTGAGAGTCGACGGGGGGTACACCTTGACGTGAAATTCATAACAAGAAACATCCGTACAGTGTTTCTGATAGCTGGGGGGCTTTTTATTGTATTTGCCGAATGGGTGGGTTGCTCTTTGGTACAGGTGTTATCTTTCTAATCATGATCGAGGGCAAGCGGATAGACTATCTGATTTTTGTATTATTATAAGTTATTATAAGAAAAGTAGCAAAGGTGAAATCAGTATCCAGTATAAATCCAACTTCACGCGGTCTGTTCTTTGGCTTTTCAGCATTTGATCTCTCGAACCGGCTCAAAGGCGCCATCCATTCGGCCAAACACATCCATCCTTCCAATACCTCTGGTTCACTGAATCTAGATTGATATATTCTACTTTTCCCCGCCTTGTCAGCATTCAGCGGTTTATATGGGAGATTCCACACAAACCTGCTGATCATCACAGTAGATAGATTCTAGAGATAAACTTTCAGATTTCTCTGAGAGAGAGATTCAAAAGAATACACATTCTTTTTCAAATCTATTCAACCTCTCTACTAGTTCAAATCTACCAGTCTGACAGTTATGAGCCCAGACTCTTCAAAGACATTAGCTTTTATATTGAAATTCTATCAAGACAACTTATGACTCAAGAGCTTCTTTGAAATTCACTTTATACAGTCTTTTTTCAATGAAGTGGAGTTTTCACTTTACCACATCTCACTTTATGGCGCAATTCAGTACGGAGTATATAAATTTCAATCAGAATCAACATTTTGAGGGCGTGGACGGTTGGGACTAGTTAGCTGGTTTTCCCGCTGCTTTTGGTCGCGTCCAACCTCCAAGCCTCTTCGGGACCGGATTCCTGGCTGCTTTTACGATCGATTATTAAACAACTCAATTAAACTAACTAGTTAACTAGTTATTCAAGTAGTAACAAGGACAGACATCATCCTCATCGCTCTCGACCTTGCCATTTCTTTCATCTCCGCTTTCAATACTCCAAAGGTATGGCATATGCAAACTATCCCGCATTACTTTGAGACCGCCTCGCGATCTTCCAGCGGTCGATTTGTTCTCTTTACAGAGCATTGAGGTACCCTTGAAGATCCGTAATCTCAGGCTGGTCCATACGTGCAATTTGGCGATACTTGTCCACTATTCCCCGAGTCAGAACATGCAGTACACCAAATTGACAGTGAACTAGACAAGTTGCTGCACTTACCGTATTTCGCAAGCGCATTCCATTTGTGCAGAACCTTCTTCTGCATTGGCTTTTCCGCCAACCAAGGTGCGATGTTGTCGGTATCTTGTTGCGATATAAGAGTTTCAAGGCCCGAGAGATCGCCTGAGATCTTTTGCCAGCAGCCTTCGAGCTTTTCGATGGTCTTCATGGCCGGGTTGATCATGCTAATCAGGCCAGTTATATCTTTCTGCAGTGGAAGTTAGAGTGGATCAAGCCAGATTCTCAAGGGCCGTTCTCAGCAATCACCTGCATCCCCCCAATGTCCGCAGCCAGACGCTTGTCTGCTTGCACTTTAGCCTCGTCACTATCGATTAGGTCCTGGATATCGTTCATTTGCTTCCTGAGCTTGTTGATCTTATCGGTATAAACTCCGATGACCGTTGCGCCAGCAATAGTCCCGATTGGGAAACTAATCGCTCTCGTTAACAGCATTCTCGACTGGCAGAATGGAAAGAGAATCTACTTACACCCACATATAAGATGGCGCCGTATTGCGGATTGTGCAGTCTCGAACATCAATTAGTCAAGCCTGTCGAATATGTTTTGGTGCTTACTTACCTCGATCATATTCGCTCTGATCAGTTTTCAACTCCTCTCTTTTATCAAGAATCTCCCTCTGCAGTTTTTTTATCTCTCCGTTGTCTCCTTCGAGTAGCTTTCCCAATGCTGTATTGTGAGCTATCAAGTTTGTTTCGTCGATTTTGCTTGTCTTCTCGAAGTCAATAAGGTCCTGTTTGACTTGCTTGCTTGACGTTAAAAGGCCATCAATCATCGTTGTCATGGCTTTGATAAGGTATAAGATTCCGTCCTTGAGCTCCTTTAGTTTGTCTGGTCTTTTCTGCCCGTTCAGCTCTTCATAGTACTCTTTCACATATTTCATCATGGCTTTGTAGTAAGAGTCATCTTTCTTCCCCCCGGCGGTCGTGGCAATATTATAGACCGAATCGGCCAAATCAACCATGTTACTGTACGTATGGTCGCGGAAGTTCGACGTATGGTTGTACACCTGACAGCCAGTGAGTTTCAATACTCTGTTGCGGGATGTATTTCGGGACGGGATACCTCCTTGTAAGTGCTTAGCATCTTATCAATCTCGTTGCTCACATCCGAATTGATGTCAGACCAGTCAAAAGATAAACGGAGCGCATATTGGGCTCGGGTAGTGGGAAGAAGGCATCCGCTCCAGATAAACTTCATGAGCCTCAGCATATCAACGGTCTGGAGTAAAAAAGTTCCATTGTCGTCGACAACACCCGTGGGAGGATCCCATTTTGGGTGGGCGGGGGTACCAGTGTCGCCTTCGGAGTCGGACATGGCTCAGTTGGAGCTGTGAGAAGAATGAGCTTGGCTAAGTTGAAGAATGAAATATTGGAATGGCGGCTTCGAATCCTTGGAAGTGTCTGTCAGATATGCCTCAGAATCAAACATGCGGGAATCAAGAGGGATTAAATACCATTCTGGCTTGCCAATACACTGACTTCGAAACTTTGCCACGACCACGAACCCGACGATAACCCCATATACCTCCATGATACCGATAAGTTGATTCTCGCCCGACCGGGTCGATGGGAGTGAAGCCCCTCCAGTCTTCAGCTGAGGAGTGACTGAGACTAGTCCGGAGTAGGGCCCCAGATAATACGTGATCCGGCCCCGCCGAAGGGCCCATGTGTTCTCTGCTCTAGTTGTGATATTCAAGGAAGAGAACCCTGCTCCCGGGCTAAGCCCGTGGCTTCTTGAGGCGAAAGCAATCCAGGTGTGCCAGCGCTCGTGTTTGCACAACTTGGACGCCGAATAGCTCATGCTATCGGCCGCTCTCGAGTCAGAAAACCGTAATGACGTTGCCCAGCACAACTCATGACCCAGTCAGCGCCGTAAATGCATATTGGCCGGTGCGTTTGAATTCTCCGGGATACGCAGGTGGCTGCCTGAATTTGGGTCTTCCAGGACGACGGACTCGAAAAGATAATCAGGTGCCATGGAAACATATGCTCTTTGTCGCAGGTTACATGCATACTGCATTTAACCGAAGGCTTCATGCCCTGCATCTTCCATAGCCTTATCTGCAGCAGGCATCTTGGCGACGGCAATTTTTCAACCCCCTGGCGGACACCTGGTCCGGGCTTTACCAAAAGGCACCATTGCCCAGGGCCATCTAAACTGGCCCATTTCCGTTATTCAAAATACACCGAGGACAAGAATTATTTCAAAGAAATTTCGACTTGGTCATACACCTAGTCCTTTCCTTCTCTTTTGTTTCATCGCAGCCCGGTCTAAGCTCACAACATATTTGCGACCACAATCATGGTTATCATCGATGATGACTTCCTTACTCCACGCGATCTGCTCATTGATGAGGAATTTTGCGTAAGAGTTGAGAATATCAATATTATCCTGCAATTCATTCAGATTAGTCGCTCTATACCCAAGAACTCGGAAGATCTTATTAAAGAATGCTTTGTCACTCCAATTCTCCAGTTTTTGCATCTACAAGGAGTATGTAAAGCAATTATCCCATCGAGAGACAATAACTTATCCCAGCAGATTGCAGACACCCTGAGCAATGTGGTGAATCAATTCTTGGTGGTATGTTTAAACTACTGTGAATGTGCATACAGGACTGTTGGCTCACCAATGTAGATGGGCAGGAATGAAGTAACCTTGCTGGTAGATGCAGTTCTAAATACCCGTTCTGGAAGTTATTCTGAAGTGCAGGCAGGCTGTGTTAGAAAGACTATCAGACAGGTGCCGCCGCATGGTTGAGATGGCAGAAGATGCTCATAATGATTTTGGTATGTGTACTGTTGACAGTTACTTGATTCCCCAAACTAAGTAATGTTGCAGACACAATTTTCACACTCCTTCAAGAAAGCCACGATGCGCCAGGCAGTATGGCAAGCTTTCGAATTCATCGTCTGATCGCAAAGTACAGGGCAGACATCGATGCATTGACTGATGGTATTGGACGGGATAACAAAACCATAAGTGAGGTCATCCAGTCAAACAACGAGGCAAAAATTACTCTCATGGGCCTTTCTCGTCAACTCGAGCAAGATTTGCGCAGTATACCTCCTATTGTGGTTTGGCTGGAAGAAACAGCCCTGTCGGTACATATCGAAGATGGTATAGCAAAAATACAGGTGAGCAATCTCGGCCCGTTCATGTAACTATGTATGTGGATGTAAGGCTAACTCGCGAGAAAAAAATCTGCCAGGAGATAATCTCGAGATTTACGAATCACTCTCCATTGAGTGTAACCGATTTAGAAAGACTGATGAGTGCGTAATCCATATGGTTGAAAATTAATTTGTTGAAAGCACTGTTTTCTGCAGTCACTGACATTCTGGCGAAGGCGGCTGGGATGCGATATCTCAGGATCTCAGTGCTCTAGAAACCTTTGTGCAAAATAACACAAAGCCCGAAATCAAACTGATCCTGAAACTTGAGAAGAAGAAAATTCAGCACAAATGGAAAAGCCTGAAGAAAGAGGGTAAGACCGCTTTTTCCCGTCTCAAGAAGGCACAAGCTGATTCGGCCACCCCGAAATGCAGTCGAGAGGTTCCAGGAGAGGATACCATGGATCTAGTTAGAGTCGTGTGGTTGCGAGGGGTTGTCATCGTACCTAGTTATTCATAGATGCCAGGATAGTCTAGTATCGGCTGGTTGATAGGGCCAATTTAGATCCGCAGCACAACGGGAAGGCAATTCTTATTCCTCTTAGTCTCATTGGTAGAATTCCAATTCTCGCGGAACCTTGTGATGGTCAACCTTGAATCCAACCCTTGCTCAGAAGTTGTGGCATGGAGTGAACGAGCTAACTAGCTGTGCTGCTGATCTGGCGAGCTTGCCGTGATGTTGCGCCAAGAGGCCGGGTGGTTTGGGTGAACTTCAACTAGATATGGAACCCCGCGGTCGAGGCACGACCGTCTCATCATCTTTCGCTTGGCCTGCAGCAAGCATCACGGTCGTTACTGAATAATGGGGGCTAATGCCGGCTTTTCGTTCTCCTGCACTCTGTTGATGATATGAGATTGGCCACCGGCCTTTTGTCTGGCTGCGTCCCCCCGCTTTGCGTACTGCTGATGAGCCAGCTCAGCTCGTCAGGGATGCGCAGACGTTGTGGGCTCCTGCGTTCATGTCGAGCAACCTGCCTGCATCTATAGCTCATGGGCCCAATGGCCGAGACGTCTGAGCCCTTGCTGTTCAGCCAGCCATCGAGGGGACGTTTGGCACAAACGGCTTTTAGGGCAGAGCTCCACTGGATACGAAGTGCACCTCGAGCGGTTATGGCCGGATTGGGGCCAAATGGAAGTATGTCTGGTGGACGATATCGAACGAACTGTAACCTTTTCGACAACGCACACCGCAGCTAGTGGACAAACATTCTTGGAAGATGCCGTCGTCCTGCTTCCCTTCCAAGCCAGGATAGAGGGCAGACCGATGCCCAACCGTGTCCAGCTGTGTTTTGGCGTATTCAAAAGATACTGATATAAGAGACCCTCAAATTGGAGAATGCTCCAAATCTGCTCCTACCGCGGAGAACGCGAATGACCCAGTTTGCTTAGATTCTAGTCTATTCAATATCATGGCAACTCAAGACACCCAGCCAACCTCCCCAGCGGAATGGCAAAAGTATGCCGATGCCGTTGGGATATCGCGCATCCCCATGCTGTCCAGCGATAAGGTATATGCGGTATGTAGCGAAGGCTTTCGATTTCACGTCTCTCAAACACTAACAAAAATATATAGGAGACACACACGGTGCGAGACGTTTTGGTGGACGCATCGTCCATATTTTCGGCTTCAAAGGGGGAGTCGGTCACTATTTTAGCCGACGTGCTTGTTTTCTCAGGCGGCGAGAATGTGGTCAAAATCCCTGACTGCGGCGTTTTTATGCTCTACTCCAGAGTGATCACAGCCTCATCGCCGATCCATATAGTGTTTGAGCCGGAAACCAAGTCTGAATGTGTGGTCATGATATACGCCTCGATCCTTGATCAGCCGCTCAGCTACAGTTGCAAATCGCACGACCCTTCTACCGTTGATCTTGGCAGCGGTTCTCAGAATGTTGGGATTACACTGCAAATAAAGCATGGAAAACCTAAGGAAACTTATATGCCAAGCTATAACGACCTTTCAGAACATCCCAAGGAGTTCGCGGCCTGTTTAAGGGCACAGCTCCGTATCGCATCAGTCTTTTTCTGGAAACAGCCGCCCATCGCAATCTCTTTGACCTCCCATATCGCACGCGCTACCTCGAAGACAGATTCGGAAAGTATCCTAAACGCACAAGCTGTCGCTCTTGGTCAGCAACTGGCTGCTCAGGCGCTTGCAGGACCTAATACTAGCTATGCCCCAGTTTTACCAGTCTCCTCGTATCTGGCCACTCTAGATGACGCCATCGAGACCGCATCTGCGTTCGAGGTGCAGTACATGCGATTTCAGGATCGAAAGCTCGCTCTCCAAGATCGTATGGCAGCTTGGGGGACCATGCTAGACCATGCTGAAGGCGCAACAAATATGCACAGATCCCTCAGGGATTCGGCATATGAGAAATACTCAAACGCGTGCGACATTGTTCTAAGCAGCTCACAGCAGTTCCAATTGGATCAGATCACACTAGGCGATAAAGAAGTGGAATTTAAGATTGGCATCGAGGACTGGAAGGAAAAGATGAAGTTTGAAGCGGCATTCAAGATATTAACAGCCGTTATTAGTGAGCTTCTGGTTACTCTCCCCAAAACTGCGCGTCCGTGTGCTGATAATTTTAGGCTTTGCTATTGCCATAGGTGCCATTTGCATCGGTGACGGAGCTGCTGCTGCACGCGCCCCGGCTGAAGCTGAGGAGGCTGTCCAAGCGGTGGAGGAGGCAGAGTCGCTTGCAAGCGATATTGGCAAAATACTCAAATCTGACACCGTCAAGAAGCTAAAGAGCTGTGTGATGATGACCACAAAACTCTTATCGTCCATGTCCACGACTGTGGAGCAAATTCGAAATTTGGAACACAATCCCGACACGAAGATCGATGACGATTGGCAAGTCGACGGAGATTTGAACAGTCTTGTAGCCCTTGCCTCGTGGGACAAATGGCAGCTTGAATCAGATGATCAGTTGGAGTTTGCCATTGAGCAAAAAATAAATGGCGCCGCGGCTTATCGGCTCGCGCTTCGTCAACACGCAATAAATGGAAAATTGCTCGCTCAAGCCCAGGCCCAGGCAATAAAGGCCGGTCAAGAGTATGTCCAGGCCGAACTTGCGTTTAATCTCAGCCAAAGCGACACGGCAAGCTTGAAAAAGCTAAAGGATGAATATCGAGACGAGGAAGAGCAAGCCGAAAAGGCCGAAGCTATGTTCTACGACCAACTTATGTCTTTGCGAACAAGTGTGACGATTGAAATGCGGAATCTAACCTGGGCATATAAATTTTATGCACTTGAGGACGCTTCAATTGAGCTTGATGCTCAAAAGACCATCGAGGAATATCGTGTAGATGCCCTTACGATTCGAGAGAAGATCGACCAGGCAAACTCGCGATATGCTGGAGATTATCAACGTACGTAAACAGCCTCCCCGATTCTCTTTTGCCGCCGTATTCACTTCTGTTGTGCAGCGTTCAAGTTCAAGGTTTATCCAGATGAGGTAAAGTCAATGCCCAAATGAATATCTGAAAGAAATGTTAACAACCACTTAGCTCTTCTTGACTGGCGCTTCTGGCATCGTTGATTCTCTCAAGGGCGACCATCATACTGCGAGCTTCACCCTTGTGCCACCAAACACTAAGACTTCCAACTATAAGCAACTACTCTCTGGACCGTTCATCGAAGGTTCGCATTTCCGTGTGCATGGGCTGGAAGTTGAGCTCGTGGGTGCTCGTCCTAAACCGGCGTATCTGCGGCGCGGAACCGCAACAGTCCGAATTGCCATATCTACGTCCGGCATCTATTCGGACATTCAGGACGGCCAGGTGTTCCATTTCACCAGCCTTCCATTGCAGAGAGTGTTCGCGTACGAGATGACGGAGGCCGGTGAAAAGGAGGATGTGGTGGTCCATTCCACTTTCCCCAGCACAAACCATGCGGAACCTCCTGCTTTCACTCAATGGACCATCAAGTTGAAACAACCGGACCATTTGGACCTGAGCGGACTGTCAGATGTCCGGCTCAAATGGACGGGGGCTGCAAATTTTGCCGCTTAGATGATAGCACAGGCCCTAATATCAGGCAAATATATGAATATGCTCCCTCTTTTCGCTTTTTCATCCATGCTTGTTTTAAAAGATCAAGGTACCTCGTGCCACATCTTAGAAGCAATTTAAAAAGGAGACGGCCAAGTCGACCTTGAAGAAACTACGTTCCGAAAATTCCCTCTGGAGATGCGGTGTGGACAAGGAATGCTCGTAAACGCGGGGTTCACCGTTGGTTACGGCTCGCGAAACAGCCTTGGACGGACACTAACGGGGGATCGACCGAATCTTCCTGAAACCCGGCGTTTCATTTTTGCATATCCAATGGAAGACCGGATGGCGAACGTGGCGAAGCGCCCTTATGCTACCTTTACCCCTGAAATGGCCAGGAACAGGAACATGTTTTCGCTCCGCTGTGGTAAAAAAAAAAAAAAAAAAAAATGCAGGGCTGGTTGTCGATACGCTTTGGTGAACTGCGCATGTACGGAGTATATCCACCTCAGATCTGTGAATGGAGCAAATGCATAATCTTGACTGTAGTTATATTTCGTCTTGCAGAGGTCCACGCGGACTGAAGACATTGCCCTGATTAGTAACAGATGAACGCAGTGGGATATTCTCACTACGGGCCAAGTCTTGTGCGTTGACATAGGCTCATGTCTGAAGAGTCACGCCCCTGTAACTAGGTAAACGCCATGCGACAGCAAGGATTCGAGAGATCTCGCAATTTGATACGAATCACCCTGGCTTTAAAGGCAGACTCGGTCGTCCTGGTGTTCAGATCGGCCAACATAGAACTCGTAGTTATAAGTTTTGTCTTTGCCCACTGTACAATGATCTCGGGGACAATGAGCGCCTCCATATCCTTCAGAATCACGCGGCAGCACTCTCACATTGGCCAGAGTCCGGATCAAATCATAGACTTATGGCCTGCTGAAGGTCATAGCTATAAGCTCACTCGAACTCTGGAGTGTTTTCTCGAAATGGTACTTAATTTTCGAGGATACGGCCAGTCCATGTCAAGTGCCGATTCCGCCTTGCACAAAGCGGTTCAACGTCTGCTCGCTCGCTCGGATGACAAGTGTGCAAGGCACGATCTGAAACTCTTGCCCTGATGCTGAAGAGAAACCTAGCAGTTAATACCGTAAATCACTCAATGATCGTGTCGGTTGGTAACAGCATTGGTCGTCGAGGGTCGAAAGGCAACGCCTTCACCAGCAGTTCCAATTGAGATTGAATCGAGAAAGGAACGAAAAGAAGGTATTATGGCTTTGGGGTATAAAATAGGTACCTTATGAGTGCAAAAGGTCCTGCGCAAACTGTCGTCGAGCGGGAACTGGGATCAATCCTCGCACCAGAGACATCCCGGCCCAGCGATCGTGAATTCGATCGGGAAAAGCTTCCAGAACACGCTCCTAGCCGCTGATCAGTTGCTTTGGGTCATCATCCCAATGCTACGTTTTCATCCAGCGCCGCCCTCCCCGGCATTTTTGCTTCAAGATGGAGCGGTGGGTGACGAGAAGGACAGCCACTCGTCGCCTCAACCCGCCCAAACCGTATCCTCCACCGCCTCCGCAGATGGATGTCAGGGTGGATGGGTGTTCCTGGACTCTCTCTGCGGATGACTTCGACGCCAAGGGTCGCTGGAGCGAACGTGACGAATGTGAAGAGGGCTTGCGAACATCGGAGCTGCTGTGAGTGGTTGTGGTGGTGATGCTGGTCAAGGGGAGCGAGAGAATGGGGAGAAATAGCCTTCTCAAGCCACACTTCTGGACCAGAACAGCTGAGCAGATGACCACCTCGGTCCGGTCCTAGCCTTTGCTTCGCCTTTGTTTTGCTGCTTGGAGCTCTGTCGACGGTGAGGTTACAGCAATCGCGGTTACTGTCTCAAGTGCAACTTATGAAAAGCCTCAGTTGCCCAGCACCAACAATGGCCCTTCTCAGCACCTCTCTGGCCTGTCACTCCCATCACTTGAACTGCGCTCTTTGATGCCGGCGGATCCGCCATCTGGACTTGTATCCAAAGCGTGAGAGGCGGTCAGCAGCAGACAAGAGCCACCAGGCATAACTAGCACACTCCTTATGCAGATACCCATTTGGCTTCATGTTGAATACTCCCAGGGCTTCTTCTTCTCTCGCGTTCGCTCACTTGTTCAGGATCCCCAACCGGCAGTCAGCTGCATGTCTCACGTGAGTGACCTTTGCCTTCCACCAACACTTCACTTCTCCTAGATCTCCTGCAGTCTTTCCTTTCTTCTTTTGCATCATCCATTTCTGTGTGCATCGCGAGATATTCATGGCGTGAACCGTTTGGTATCCAGTGGACTATCAACGCAACAGTCGGGGCAATGCTGGTGGCTTTGGCAATGTGACGACTACCTCTACTCTGCAGAACACATATCTATTCAAAGCACCTGAACTAGCCTGTGCTCTAATTTGCGTGTCTTGGTTCTGTGGTTTCCGACTCTTGTCCATCTTGTTGAATTCCGCCATACAAAACAGAAAATCTACTACCTGCCATGGCAGACGCCCTGCCTCATGGATTGGTGTCAACCACTGAGCGTGTGAGCTCTGATCTAGAAAGTGCAGATCATGTTGAGATCGAAGATGTTGCGAAGCTATGGCGAGGTTGGCTTTTCAGTTCCCCGTTAACGGAAATTGCGCATTTGCTCACTGAGATTTTCTAGTCTACACAAACAACAAAATCACATTAAAGCAAGGAGCCGGACGGCGGCTGGAGAATTTATTTTGGAGGGTCTGGAGTAATGGACGTATCAGTTCAAACATCTCCGGGTCAACTCTGGCCAGGCTGTTCATGCAACTGACCGACGAGACGCCACTCTGGACCAAGGCCAAAGAAGTATGAGATGGTGGTCATTCCTGTGCTTGCACCTATATCTGACTTGCTTTCAGGAACTGGACTCCATTCCGAGAAGCCCTCTTCCAAAGTTCCCGCAGCCTACGCCGGCGCTTCACTCTCCAGCTTACTCAGGGACCAACAAAAACAACCCAAAGGTTCATCAGTCTAGTAACAACTATCGGAGTTGCAGCCGAATGCAACCTCCTCCGTCTATTCTTAAGAAACCGTCCCGATCATCCTCGCAAAATACACGCAAAAGCACCCGCTTTACATTTGAAGGACTTGAACAGCCTGAAGAAGTCGATATCTGGAAGAACTTTCGATCACCACCAAGATGGGCGGAACACGGGCCCAATTGTGATTCCGACCTGAGGCTCAAAGCTGCAGCTATGAATGCCCGTGCAGCTCAGTCTCCAGTCGGGCCAGGTGTGCGAAGGTCTACGGTAGCTCCTGGTGATGATTTATTGGCTTCAAGATACATACGACCCGGGCGGTTGTCATCTTATGAACATGTCATAGCCCCTCGTACAAATATCCCAGAAGATCGTATGTGGTCCCGTTTTAACGAAATCCGTGGAGCAGTTTGTTAAACCTGTTCAAATTTAGTTTCTCCAAAAACCGTTGGAAATCCAAGACCCCCCAAACCACCACTGCCGGTTCAGCACGCATCGAGACCGCTTCCAAACTATCCTCTATTCGACGACTCGCCAGGAAGCCCAACAGCCACCGAAAAGCAGCTCAGCCCAAAAGCAAAGACTCCGCAGCCACTATCACGGCCCAAGCCAACAACAAAGAAGCCTGCTGAACCCTTTCCCACCATTCCATTGGTCGAAAAAGACTTTCGCACCCGTTTTGTCGAAAGACAGCCACGCGAATCACGCGTTTCCTCTCTCACCAGTTTAATTTCCTCTGACGAATCACTATCTTTGTCAATCTCACCAGCATCCATCAATCCACTTCTCCTCCGCCCAGGCCGCCAGATCCCCCGAACAGCAGATTCTATGCACCCAGACATCCTCCCCGCGCAGCCACCCGAGGCTTTGCTCTCGAGAACATTATCGAGCTCCCCGACAAACCTTATTTCATCCCATGAAAACTTACAGCCTCCGATTCGACGTAGCAAACAATCGAGTCAGCTGAGCAAGTTGATTGAGGAAGAGAAGAGGACAAAGGAGGAATGAGACCTTTAGCAAGACGAGTAACCAACGATTTACAGCCCCAAAAGGATTCTTAAAAAGGGGAGAAAAAAAAGGTTAAAAAACGATCAAAAGAGTTGACGAAAAAAAACTTTGAAAATCGCAGAGACGATCTATGAACAATATAAGTTAAGGGACGATATATTCTTATCTGGAGGATGCCGATAGATGCAATGAATCTAAGGCCGATATGTAGCATATATAGAGCTACATGAATTTATGAAATAACATCAAAGTGTATCCAGATTTCTCTCTATGGTAGGACCCGGTCTGACATCGCTAGAACTACTCCCTATTCCAAATCTTCACGATTGGGTTACATACATACAGATCCATTGAGATGAGCAAGGTATGTCAAAGGTAATGTTCAATGCAGGGAAAAAAAAAACAATATTATATGGACATAAGATGCTGAACTGTACTCCATGTAATGCACTTAAAAATCAAGCAGTCAACCACCCGAAACGCCCTCTGCAACGGGATTATGCAATTAATTTAACAAACGACGGGGAAAAGCCACAAGAGCATCGATTCATCCCGCCATCGAGGTAAATATAGCGGGGCCCGTGCCAGTTAGGACCACTAACGAACTTCGCGCATTTCCCCTTCCTCGGCCGCAAACTGCTCGTTTTTCACCTCTTGCTTCGCTGCCCTATCGCCTCTCCACCATCTCAGTCCACACCAAACCGCCGTGATTGTCCAGAATGACAGGTTGACCAGGTCCACCCACACGGCGTGGTGCATTCTCTTCAAACTTGGGTCCTTTTTATCATCGACTGAGACGTACATTTTGGCGAAGATGCCAAATACCACGAGCCACAGGATGAACATGAGAGAGTCGAAGGCTAGGCAGGGGAGTTGGAGGATGCGGAAGCTGGATAGCGGTCTTTGAGCAGCACAAGGGAGGAGGATGTAGATGATCGCGGCAATGGAGGAGAGTGACCCAACAACTGTCGCGTAAATCTGGTGTGATGGTTAGAAAAAAAATAGGGTGCGCTGGAGGAATCGAATGAAGCATACCCATTTTGAAACAGAACCCATGGGAAGCCCAGCTTTCCTGGCATGGTTCACGTCTTGCGCGTACAGGCCGATCACGGCAATACCGAAGACAAACTGCAAGAATCGAATGCAGCATTCGAGGAGGGTCGTGACAATGTTTCCGGGGCTGTAACGCTTTTTCACGCCGTCAATGACCAGAGATTTGATGAGGCCCATCGTGGAAAAAAAGGCGAAAGACTAGAGGGAGTAGGCTGCGATTAAGAGTCGTGGATAGTTTGTATGCGATCTTCGGGAGATGCAGTTTAGCAACGGGCGCGGATTCAAGACTCGAGTCTCCAGGAGAGCCGTGTAAATGGCAAAGCAGTGATCGAAGTCGACAGAGCGTGAAGCCGTAATAAAGGAACAGAAATACTTTTTTGCGTAGTGAATGCAAGGAAAAAGGGGTGATAAAAAACAAAATGCAGGTAGACTCCAGGTCTTCACGGCTGCAAGTCAAGGAAGCAAGCGCCCAGCGCACACAACAGGAGTGTTGATGGCGGATATGAATGCAAAATGCAAGTTCCGTCGAGGAACACTTTCGATGTGAATAGGCAACTTCAAAGCTAGGGACAATAGAAGGGCAATCAATGAAGGTCAACGAATGAATCGCCCGGCACAATAAGGGAGAGCGGGTGAAGAAACGTTTGCTATAAAGCCGCAAAGAAGACGCACAACAAACGAAAAAGGAAAAGAGAGATCGGAACCAGGCCAATGACAACTGAAAAGGAAGACAGGACTCTGCTGATGGATGGGAAGAAAAGAGCAGTGTACCGAGAGGGGCGATCACGGCTATATATATTCTTCTCCATGAGGACGGTTGCTGAAGTCGATGGAGCTCTCCATCGTTCTTAAGACGTCTTATATTTAGCAGACGCGAGCATGGATAGCCAGCTTGTTCGACCAGAGGAACGAATCAGCGGCGTCTAATGGATGGATATCGTCTGCCCGGTGGGCTCCTTTCGACTCCGCAGTGGCAGCAGGATGGAGCGTTGAGCGCAAAGGTCAAGAAAAGCGAAATGTCATCGCGCAATGCCCGCGATCAATCAGGTTTCGCCATTTTGAAACTCCGCTGCCACGATGAAACGAGGCAGGGGGGGAAGATGTTTCTTGCGACCAGGGGATGAAAAGGAACAGCATGGAGAAAGATAGCAATCGAATCATTGCTCCGGCTTCGTAGCTTGTCTGAAGTTGCATCCTGAAGAAGGTGGATGGTTGGCTGGCAATGCACGCTGCTAAGCCGTGCAAGCGCTGAGAGCCATGGGCCGGCTGATGTTTGCCGGGTTGCAGTAGGCGCCGGCCCCAAAACCCTCTCGATCATGGATGATCCATTTCGATTTGCGTGCTGCTGCAGAGCTATATTTAGATATCTCATGATATCATCAGTCCCGCTAACACACTCGGGCGCCTTTGGTATAGAGATCTACTGTTGGGACAAGGATTCAATGTTTGATATTCTGGCATTCTGTTCTAGTCCTCCAAGACTTTGTCTAGTAATACTAGCATAAAGACGTTAAATGCAAGCAGCCAGTCGAACCTGGTGCACTCAACAAAATATTCGGTAATGTGACTGAGACCTTTTCGGAAAAAGCCACTGCACAGGACAAGGTCATCAGACTCACATACCGCGCAGAGACCGGTATATCCATTCTCAGATACTCTTCAGTTTGACCCAACCTCACCATAGCTTCATGGTTTCACCGCGCTCATGTGGGGACAGGAAAAAGGTGTTCTTAGCTAAAGATGGAAGAAGGGAAAACGTCCCAAAGGATTCGACCAAAAGAAACGTTAAATTGCATGAGTGGGGATGTTTGACAATGCCATTCTTGAAGCCAAACGGCCAAATATGGCGTTGAAGATGAAGCGGGTGATGAAAAGCATAGAGCAAAGGCTAAACTTAAAACAGCAGTAGAGAAAAGAGAGAAGAAGATCCAGCAAGCAAACAAAAGGTGCCATCCCATGAGTAAATATAGGATGTGGCCGGTCCCTCTCACAAGCGGAATGAACACGTTTTGGTTGCTCACTTTGCCATCATCCAGCACGCCCAGTCCCACCTCCCGCTAGCCCGTCATTCGACTGACTGTTCGATTGATTGGGGTGATTATGGCCTGGCGGTGGTGGTACTCTTGCCGGGCCCGCCTGTGGAGGATGGCGAAACTGTGGGGCCTGTTCTTCATACTCATCGCCTTCCATAATACCCAGGTAGTCTTCTTCTTGATCTCCCTGACCTTCCATGGGCTGCTCTGGCATCGCTTGTCGGTCATAGTTCTGCTGATAAGCAGGCTGTTGTGCGGCTGCATTCTTCGCTGAGTTCTTGGGGGGCTTTTTGCCTTTGCGTCCTTTCATTTTGGCCTTTTCCAACAATCTCCGTTTCTCTGCCAACCTTCTGCGTTCCTTCCGATCTTTAATCTCATATTGTCGGATCAACGCCTCGGGAGGATGTCCGAATATGCTCTCATACTCGCAAAACTCGCAGATCCAAATATCTTCAAGGTTAGGTGGGTGGTGTAGGTTAGTATACTGCTGCTGTATCCGACGTTGGCGTGCCGCGAACGCATATATACTCCGGGCCGATCGGCGGGGTTTCTTCCCTTGCGCTGACGGCTGTGCGGGTTGGTTAGCGTGCTGAGGAGCAACAGCAGCAGCAGCTTGACTATGCTGATTGACTTGCGATGTCATGTTGGGGCTCGTTTGCGTGCCTTGGGTGGAGAACCTCCTCTGCCCGGCGGCGGCGGACGCGGCTCCTGATTGAGAGACTGGTCGAGGCGGTTGCGAAAGAGAGTACGCATTCTGGGTTTGCCAGGAAGCCATGCCTTTCGACGAGTCTGACTCGCACGTGAAAGTAAATTGGGTTTTTGCAGGTGCGGGCTTCGTTGACTCGTTTAACAAGCTTATGTTGCCTCCCTGCTTCGGAGAGGATGATGGATATGCTGCCGCGTTAGCGATAGCATTCGAGATTATGCCCTGATCAGGAATTTTCAACGAGCCTAGATAGCAGATTAGAAACTATCATGACGACTAATAGCAGTCGAATGGCCATACCGGTGTCGTGATTGAAGCCCCGACGGCTACCCCCAGGCCGATTGCCTACCCAGTTATTCGAGGAATTAGCGAGAGGCGCCCGTCCATTGGCAGAACGGACCACATTTCGACTATATCTCCCACGTCCAGGGCCTGAGAGGCCAGAGGCTGATGGAGACACAGGGTTGCCTGACCCGTAGTAAGACCCGGGCATGCTAGCTTCCTCTAGGATGCCTGAATTCGCACCATTTGGACCGGTAGGGTTCATGCCCAAGATGTCCGCTGAAAGGCTCGAGTGACAACCTAGACCACCTGACGTCGGTATTTTCCTTTTCTTTTTGTTGTTTGTATTCTCAAACGCATCATAACCGTCAAGACTATTCGAGCTAGCTTTGGAGGTCGTTCCCGTATGCTTTCCGTATTCCGAGAGAGAGGGGGGCGCTCTTCCTAGACTGCGTCTGGCGACGGGAGGCCCGTCCTCTTCAGAGTCTGCACCGACTGCATAGACTTCGATGTCATCTTCAGAGTCTTGATCGAACGCATAGCTGTCTCGCTGCATAAAGACCTTGCCTCCATTTACGACTTCTCCATTTCCCGCCCAATCAGAACCGTAAAAGAGTTGGGTGACCGGAGGTGCGGGCGGGTATAGAATAGATTCAGCAAGCTCAGGGGATAGGCGCGAGCGTATTGGGCGTTTGGGGAGGGGTCTGATAAGTCGATCAGGGAAAACCGGAGACGGTGTGTCAGGAGCGGAGGTATACGTCCCGCCTAAGTGGTGAAGGTATCAGCAACTAGAGTCCACGAGTAGTCCTAAAACAGGACGGTGCTGCCATCTTTGCCGCAAATGAATGGGTTCTTTTCCCCATTCAAGATTTTGGGTTGTGCTTTTTTAGCGGCCCGTCTGGTCCGGTCTGGTTGGGCACGTACTCAACGTAGCAGCCATGATGATATTCCCCTTGAACACCGTTCAAACCGTAAACTCGCGTTCTGGAAAGGTATGTATTCGAGATTGCGTTCTTCCTCCACGGAGATTCAATGCTTTTTGTCTTCGATTCGAATGGGTGACGACCTAGTCTCTAAAAGCCAAGTCAGCCACCGGGGCACGATTGCAGGACCCGAGCCATCGCCAACAGCACAGCTCCAAGCACCAATCTCGACGCTACGACGTCTATATCCAGGCTTAGGATCACCGGAGAATGGCACTTACAAAAAGCCAGCAAACTCCTGCCAACGATGACAAATCACACAGTCCAGCACGGAGGAGTGTTAATGCAGGGGGATCCTCAACCTTTGGGGCGAGGGAAGCGGGTGACTCGGACACACAGGATACTCAGCAGGATAACACAGCCTGGGGGGGGTTCAGCGTCCGTAACACACTCGTGGGCAAAGACGACTTGGACGTGGAGGGCGAGGGCGAGAGCGAGTTGAGCTGTCGGGCTTAAAGGTTTCCCAGAGTGTAAAGTTCAGTTGCCAATCACGGGGAAAACGTCGCCGCACTAGCCGCTTTGGGAAGGGCAAAGCCCCCTCGCTGGCAAAAATCGTCCAAAAAGTGGGATTTTGTTCGGCTGCACAACCGGCGGGCATCGCTGCTGGATGCTGGGCCTTTGGTCGGCTGCTGGGTCTACGCGCAGGAGCTGGATCTACGCCGGGCGAGCTGTCTGGTCTTCTATCTCTACGGCTACTATCAGAGCAAACTGTAGCGAGGCCGATTGTCCACCGAATATAATAGCAAACACGGCCCGTTGCAACCCGGTAGTCTCTATTCAACTGTGTGCTTCTTCTGTTTCCTCTTCAGTGTCAACGTGTACGTATGCCACTGCAATTTTCCCTTTTGGCCTATCTTGTTCTGTAGACTGTCCCTGCCAACGAATCAGGCACGCAAACATCTCCTATCTAGGTTGTCATTGGCCCCGAAAAGCCAACGCTGTGTTGTGTCCATATTGTTCCATCCCTGAATCGACTGATATCGCGAGTATCCGGTGGACGGAAAGGGGGTTGAACCTGGGTCGTGGGCTTGTTGGAAGTTGCAAGTCCACGCCAACGGAGATATCATGGGACGAAAGCAATGACTGGCAACCCTTAACGGTGTGCTTGGGGAGAATCCCAGAAGCACGAGTCACCAGCAAACGCGTCCGAAGTCCGATCCGTTCCCATGTTGAAGACAACTGATCTGTGAAGAGAAGGGCGGAAGTGGGCATCCCGTCGCGAGGACCTATGAGAAAGAACCACAGCGCCGTCGAGAAGATGACCCTGTTCGATACGGGGAATTCTGTAGCTGTAGGGCAAGACAGCCGTCGAGCTGAGCAATAACAATGCAGTTTCAGGCCATGGTGAACCCTTGGGTTTGGAAAAAGGCGTCTTTCCCCCGTCTTCCGCGTCGCTGGGCAAACACCACCGGCGTTCCCCAACTCACCTCGTTCTTCTCAGGAAATAACTTTCTTCGAGTTGCTGCCTATGAGGAGACCATGGGGGGATCAAATTCAAAGTTTTTCGTTCTGTGGTACGGTGCGTTTTTGACGAAAACCGAGAGCTAGTTCGCGGTGGTGATGAGATGAGCAATGTCGGGACACGGTGCGCGGGGAATGACTGGTTAGCGAATGATACTTCGCTCGCCCAGATCTCCGCCCATCTTCTTCCTCTTCCCTCCTCTTCCTCCCTCAACCCTGCATCCGCAGCTTCAGAGCATGTAGTCTTTCGATCTCCTGCTTATTATGCCGTCTGAGGGTATTCAATCCCTTTGACTGCCTGCATTTTCTTCCAATTGCCTTGATCTAACCGTGGTTTGCACGTTTTTCCTGCCGGGTCTCTGAGAGCTGGAGCGCCGGTGAACCTCATTCGACCTTGCACTCCTGAATTCTCCGTGACTTCCTCTGCTCTATCCTTCTCCGTCGTTGATACGGGTTAGTTCTTCCGGATTCTCTTTTAGATCGAAATTTCAGCCATGACACCCCGTCGTTCCTCTCGAGCTCGCGCCTCTCAAGCGCCCCCTAGCGCAATGCCGCATTCCAACTCCTCAAGTTCCGTCAACTCCCTTGGACGCATCGAGAGAACCACCCGCTCAAATAACAAGCTGTCCTCTCCACGAAGATCCTCCACCCACTTATCGCAATCGGTAGACGACGCTGATGCACGCTCGAGACATGACCTCCCACAAACCCGGCAGCGGCAGCGCGGTCGCGACGAAGAGGAAAACCATCAACTTCCTCCAGCTAATGTCGAATATGATGAAGAAGATGGTGACGAAGAAGAAATAACAAGATGCATTTGCGGACAGCAGGATTATCCGGGCCTTCCAGCAGCCTCTCGCGAGGCCATCGGCCGAAATTATCTGAAAGCCGGCATCAAAGTGGAATCGAACCAAGACCCTTCCGCCTCTGCCTCAGAGATCCCATCCGACGATGCTGGCAGTTTGTTTATACAATGCGATTCTTGCAAAGTATGGCAGCATGGCGGCTGCGTGGGAATTATGGAAGAAGCCCTGAGTCCTGACGAATATTTCTGCGAAAAGTGCCGAAAAGATCTACACAAGGTGATTGTTAGTGGAAATGGGTAAGTTTTCCAATTGTCAAGTGTTTATTCACCTCTTGCCCCATTCCCTTCATTCATGCAACTTGAATCTGTTGTTGAGTCTAGCATCTCTTGTCAAAATATTGAAGTATTCCCCCACTCCCTCTCACTTTTACATCTTTCTACAAAGAATAAGGCTGTTCTAAATCGATACCTTACTCGGGTTTTTCTCTGGGATGTGGTCCTCACGCTTACGACCTCGCAGCCAAAAATCAACTCAGTACCTTCCGGTCGCTGGATCTCTTTCACCTCCCTCCTCAAGCTCGGCTACGCGCGAAAATTCCAGAAACGCTAGAGATAAGAAAGCTCGAGACAATGGAGAGGCACCTAAACGAAGGTCTACGATGAATAGTCGCGAAGCAGCCTATGATGAAGAAGAACTTTTACGTCGAGCAATTGAAGAGAGCAAGGAGGACAGCAAGTCCGTCAATGAAGAGACAATCATTCGCAGAGGGAAGAGAACCAGAAGTGACAGCGAAATGTATGTCCCTTGGGCGGTTGATTGCGGCGTTTAGCTAACTGGCTTTTTCTAGAACTAAACAAACCGCTAAAAGACAACGCACCAGTTCACCTTCTCCTTCATCCATTACTTCGAAGCAAACCCTTAGCCAATCTCAACCAGTGTCTGAGGACGAAAAAACAAAAGCAGTCGTTAATGGTAACAAGAAGACGAGGGGTATTGTAACTCGAAATCAACGAGAAAAGGAAGTCCTCGCCCTCGAAAAAGAAGCAGAAAAGGAGACCATACCTGAAGTTTCCGGTCGACGAAAAGGAAGATCTGAGCGAAGGAAAGGTGATGGTAAGTTAGATATAATCAAATTCACATTTCTGTGCAGTCACTCAGCTAACCCTTGGATTTACAGATTCGGAGCCTGAAACAGCCTCGCCAGCGAAAAATATTACCAATGGCTCTGTCCCACCGCAGTCTGGCCCTGAGACTCCCGACATCCCTCCTCCGCCCGCGCAAAAACCATCATCCCGTAAATCCGGACGTCCACCTGCACGTAGGGGTCGTGTTGGCCGCAATCAGTATACCCGAGATCGCGATGTCGCCAATGGTAATGGTGCAGACAATCAAACAAACTCTCCCCGCCGTGGGCAATCTCGGGATGGGAATGGTGACTCCCCAATAGGAAATACAGGGGCAAATGGTGCCCACGTTAACGGCGGAGAATCGGGCAAGCCCAGTAGACCTCGATATATGAACCCGAACAGAACGACTATGAACGATATGAGACGAAGAGTAGCGGCAATTCTTGAATTTATTTCGCGTATGCAAGTTGAGATGGCTGCTGCCGGAGAGCAAGCCACTCCGCCCAATGCCTCGAGTGCCAATGGCACCCGTGCTCCTGACAGTTCTACCGTTGCTGAAGCATTAGCAGGCGCTGTGATGAACGGCGACGTTCGAGTTCTGTCTACTGCTAGCAGCACCGGAACAACGCAGGAAATTGAACTACCCAAAGAAAGAGATTTCAAAGACCTATCCAGCTTGGAAATGATGGACGAATTAACTCGCGGTTTACTCAAATGGCAGCAAGAATTTGGGAAATATGGCGACAAATAATGCAAACTCCCATACGTGAAACGATGACATCCCGCCTCTTTTTTGGCTTCTCCATATATATGCTATTATTTCCCGGATTATCAGAATTTCTACTTGGGTTGGGCACGCGTGACTTCCTCTTTTTCGATATACCATGTACAATATACGAATCAATCTTTCTCACGGGCGAATAATGGGGATTGGGTGAATGGATGGTTTCTGTAACAAAGCAATTCGCATACGACCCGGTCTAGCACGCAACATTTTCCGCACGGTTTGGAGTTCATCTTTTCCTTTCTCTCCCTTTTTGCACACTCCCGCAAATACCTACCCCCATTAGACACATGTCTGGAAGTTTTCCCCTCCCATCCATCCGTTTATCGAATATAGCTCGAATGGCTCTCTTCGACACTCTACTCAACACCTATCCACCATCGCCCTCGAGTTCGGGCAAACACGGCGTCATTTTTTATCAAAGGCTATCAAAGCTAACGGAGGAATTGGCGCACTGCGGTTCTCAAAGGCGTTAGAATTTTTGTTTCGGAGTGTTTTGCAAAATCTTAGTCTATTCTTTCTACGGTTTTTTTTTTTTTTTTTTACCCTGTTCGTTTTCTTGCCTTGCTTTTAACGAAGTACGGAGGAAGCAAGGATTTTGATCGAGTTTATGACGTACAGCAGCAGCTCTTGTTTGTTTCTTGCATGGTCGTGGAGACTTTATACCAGGAGCTTTGGAGCCGCCTTAAAGGGACTTGATATCTGTCTACTCCGTCCTCCGTACAATGAGATGCTATTTGAAATAGTCACTCGGCAATTGATACAAAAGCTTACCCGGATGAGTCGTCACAATGAATGCAATGAGAAAATTTACTGAAAACCATGGGGTGTGCTGGGGGGATTATCCTATGCAAATTGTAGCGACGTACGAAGAGTACTCCATTTGAATAGGGACAAAAAAGTACAGAGCAGGAAATTTTCGAAATTAGAGCCTGTCTTCAGCCAAGAGTGCGTCCAAATCAACATCATGTAATTCCATCAGTCATCTTTAATACATAAAAAAGCAAAACGAGAAGCTACTGGTTGATCCATCACTCATATCCTAGGTGGTAAAAGGAAATGTAAGGAGAGGAAACACTAGAAAACATCCTCCAGAAGAAAATAGATTCTCCAATATTGACCCATTGAACCCTTTTCCACCTGAAATTAACAGCCATTTTATCAAAAATCCACAAAATTCGTAAAATCGGCTACAAGTAAGTTAGCAAACCATAGCAATTGTAGGAAGGAGAGGCATAGGCATACCATGGTGTACAACTTGCTTAAAGGCGAGATCCGTGGATAACCTTGTAGTCAACAACGAGCTCACGACCACCATCGTTGATAACGAGAGCACGGACACTTCCTTTGCCGTCAGCAAAAGCATCACTGATGCGGTTGAAAAGTCCGCCCTGGTCAATGACGCGAATGCCTTGTTTAATGTCACCTGTCTCGGTCATTGCGGTAAGACGGCCGTCCTCACGGAGATCGAGAATGCGATAGGTCTTGTAGACGGGGCCGAGCATGCTCTGGACAACCACGGACGGAGATGGGTTGGACACAAAACTAGACTCCTCATGTAGCTGACCAGTGAAGAGATCAACACCGAGATAACGGTGCTGGCCGGTTTGGGAAGAGACAGAGATGCGGATCACTTGGCAAGGACGACCTTGCAGGATCAATAGGTCGCCAATGCGGATGAAGTGGCATGGAATGGTGATGGTGCCAGGAGGATGTCCACCACGTGGTTGGACGACTCTGACCGATTCACGAACGCCCTCACGGACACGGGCGGGACCGCGTTCATCGGAAGCCATGACTTCTTCCTTGTGGTGGTGATGATGGAAGGGATGAAGGATACGGTCAGCAGCACGCTCAACACCACGACGGAACGAGTGATATTGGCCTTCGTCGTCGTAATATCCCATTCTTTGCTTTGGTGTGTCGTAAACTGGACGCCGCTCGGTCTCGACTTCGATGTGCTTGTCGAACCGGCTCGAGTTGCTGTCGTATTCGATTTCACGAACTTGGGTACGAGGCTTGTAGGTCTCGACGTTGTCAGTTACGCGATCGTAGGAGACGTCGATATCGCGAGATTGGGTTGAATAAGAGCGGCCGCTGTCGTATTGGACGGCGTAGCTTGGGTCGGTGCGTCGACGGTATTCGTGCTCAGTGATGTCGAGTTGGGTTTCAAAGCCCTTTTTGTCCTGGGTGTGGGAGTCGTAATATCTAGCCAGTTGTTAGCAAGGCGGATTCTATACCAACAAAACAATGAGATTGCATCCTTACCTCTCGCGAGCAAGGTCTACTTCGGGATATCGGTCACGGGGGGCAGATCGTTCTTCGTAAACTTGGAACTCTTCACGGGAGTGGGTGCGAACAGGACGATACTCGGACTTGGCAAAGTGGGTGTCGACCTCCTCTTTACCGTAGACTCTAGGGTCAGGGAGCGGGCCTTCGAATCGAGTATCTTCCCGTCCGGCGCGCGAAGCGGTGCCTGATAACTTGACCTCTCCCTCTACTCTAGTATGAGTAGTCTCAGAGACAGCGTCACTCCGGTACGACGACGGGAAGACACTGAAGGGGATTGGGACGCGGGCGTCAAAGTCCAGATTGACTGTCCTTGGGCGTCCTTTCTCGAATGCCTTTCGAAGTGCAGAACAACTCGAAAGGCGAGACAAGAAAAGACTCAAGTCTCTCGAACTCTGGTCAAGCTGCGGAGAAGAGGGCTGGAGGTGCTTGGTAACACTCCTTGGTCCTCAATTGCACTGGATGCAGAGACGATTGAAGATGGAAGGGATTGGGATGGGGTGTGATGGATGAAGGATTGGAGAGTGGTGGTTGAAGAAAAAGAAGAGGAAGAGGAAGAAAGAGAGCGAGAGGGCGGCAGACGAGGTTGGTTATATTTGGTGGTGGCAGGGGTGGCTGGTGGTTGCTGGGTCACTCGCTCCTGCTGCTGCGTGCGGTTCCAGCTCCCTTCCTGCAACGGCAATGTCAACAACTGATTTGTTGTTTATTTACTCTTTGCAGCCGCAATGTAAACAATGCTAGTCCTGTTCTGGCTAAGCCCGATGGATTACCCCTGGCCAATGGCTGCTTAGCGTCCTTTCACATGATCAGAGCGTTTCCTGCCAGCCACCAGCCACCAGCCACCAACCACCCGCCTCTCTCGCTGCGATTCAATTCCTCTGGATAATTGCGATCAACAGGCACTTGAGAGCCATGGAGTAGCTGGGTGACAAAAGCAGCACTGTTTCCAGCGAGCCCTCAATAATGTCTGGAGTTTCTGGCTCTCGGTTGGCGTCCAACGGCGAATTCCTGGTTCGCCTCCCGATCTTCTGTGCCTGGTGGGGCTGGAGCTCCGTGGACTCCGCTCATTGGGCTGGCTTAGTGATTCATCACAACCAGCCCACCATATTTGCACTGGACGTGAATTGCTGTTCCTTTGCTTGCTGTGCTTGGACTCCGTCAAAGATGCGTTGGGCACGAGTAGGAAAGCCCTTCTTTACGGCCAGCAGCTTTCTTTGCAAACCCCGAGAGGGCGAGACCATGCTATCCCCCTGTTCTCCGCCAGCCACCTCTGTTTCTCCATCATTCTCAAAATTAGCTACGGAGTCCAAGGCTGGATCGCTTATCAATTGATTATCCGCTCCTTGAAATACGAATAACCTCGGGAACAAGAACAGTGTCAACCCCCATGGGCCATCAGAGACCAGTGTCGATTTCTGTTGCCATGTCAACAGTGATGTCGGCGTGTTTGACACCAAGACTTGAGACCCCACCGAGGCTTCGTGACAGCCGATCGCCAGGTCCACCACGCTTCAGCAGTTAGACCACACAGCCTGTTCAACATCTTGTCTCAACTTGGTACTCAACATGAGAGCCTAGACAACCAGAGTGAGCCATGCCATGTGCAGCTGCTGCGATTGTTGCCAAAATCTGAAGAATCTCAAGGCCTCCCGGTCTGCCTTCCCTGCCAGTTCACGATTCGTAGGAATGGGCCCAAACTGAATCAGAGGAGTACGGAGTATTATTGTTATCTGTGATATTCATGCGATACTCCATATTCCCTAAGGGCTCCCTGGGCTACATTTGATGCAAATCGCGAAAACTCTTGACAAAAAGCATCATTTCTCATGAGTGATTCGAAAACGTGAAACCAAAGCCACTCATTCCTGCTCTCGCAACTGTACCATTCAAGTTGAACCGGGTATGCTTTCTCTCCGGTAGCCATTGGCACTAGAACAGCCTGCATACCCGCCAGAGGATTTATTCTTGTCTCGGGGTTAACGGGGAGCCCTTTGACAACCATAGCGTTGGGCTTTCCAGCCAATTCAAATCGTTCTCCTGTTTGGAGAGGCGTCGAAGCTCTTTCTAAATGTATGGCCAGCTTGGTTCCGCTGTCTCCACCTGTCTGCAGCTCACATAATGAGACAGAAATCCAGGTTTGTCTTTGGTCGGATTCAGAAATGTGCCTTGGGAGGGCGCTCCTAAAGTCAAGGAAGCGTACGGAGTAAAGCCCACCTAGTTGTGGCGGTCTGTATCCGTGATTACAGCTGGGAAACAGACACCAGATTCTATGGTCCCGTTGACGATGTATACCAGTACCACGCATCCACTGTGCTCTCATATTGCTGCAGTATGCTTGGCAAATACCTGCTATTCCATTCACTATTCCATTCTGCGGTGAAGCTTGCCTTTCGAGCCTCCCAGTATTCTGGCATCCAGCATGATTGCTCCCAATCAACAATGGCGATGATCTGCCATGAATCCGACTTTTTTACCATGATATTACTCCGGTGAAGATCCCCATGCGTGAATTTTATTTCAGCATCATCAGGGAGGTCGGAGCGGAATGGCTCCATGGGGGTAGAGTATGGATCTTCCATACGGCGCCGACAGAGGAAAGCAAACCAGTCATGAAACTCTTTAACAGAACAAAATGGCCCTGCATCCAATGTGAACTGATCACCAATGGCTCTGTCATAAATATGGCCTCGCCTGATGCTGCCTAAGCAAGATGATTGTTAGTTCTCAGATGACACTATCAGTATAGCGGATGCACATTACCTACAAAGGGGTCCCTTGGATCCTGTTTAAGCTGGCGTAAATTAGCAATGCAGGTCCGAAGCTCTGTACAGATTTGGATGCGGTCTTCTGAGTTCATCAAATCCCAAGCATCCTCCAGGGTCTGACCATGCATTAATTCCAGGTAGAGAAAAACTTCGCCTCCGTCAGTACGCCAACCATATACTTCAGGAATTGGCACGCCTCCTTCTAGGAAGTGGTGAACAGCATAGAGACTCTGGCCTTCTGCAATTGTCACATTGGAACCCCACTTGACAAACAAATTCGCGGATGCAAATACAACAGGTGGTGGAGAATAAAATGGGCCTTTTTCCCCAAGAGTCTTTCTCTTGTCCGGACTGGAGCCTGCTAGATATTGAGCACGAGCCATAGAACGGACAGCTTCCGGCGAAGGTAGATGCGTCCAGGTTTTGAAAAAGGAAGAGTGGCGGAAATCCTCGTCCGGATTATTCGGTAACATTGCTGGAGTGCATCGAACAGGATCTATAATATGGTCAGCTGATACTGCCAAAGTCTTTTGGTATAAAACAGCCCCGGTGAGGGTAATAGCCGGGGTATCGAATTCCTCCTTACCTGGAAGAAATGGGATTCCAGTGGGATCCATTTCATCAGGTACAGGACGTTCTGTTGAGCGCTGAGAGGGGAGCTGGTCAAGAACGACAAGGAGGAGAAATCACGGCTAAATTAACTAACTCAGCGCACCACTGAGATGGTCCGTTTTATCTCAAGACAAAGTCGAATGCTCTCCAGCCGCTGATGCCAAACTCCAGAGGAAAGCCTGGAAAAGTCAAATATCCAGGGGAATACGGCATAGCTCCCTGGTCGAACAAAAGCCAACTCCGCACGAGTGTCTTTGGTAGCTTCTAAAAATCCCGAAAGTGAGTTACCGTGAACCAATTGCTTGTCGCCATGCCATACCAGTTTCTCTCCCACAAAGGAGGAAGATATGTTGACCCCAATGCGAGTTTGGCCAGAGAAGCGAAACGGCCTGGGTGTGTGGGCACCGTTCCCCAAGTCTCGATCACGGGCCCAATGATGTCGTCGCTCGATGAGCAGTGGCAAGTCGATCCAAGTCCAACTTCGCCAAACGGTTTTTTTCTCTTCAACCGCAAAATCCCTTCATTGCATCAACCATCCACTCCTCTATGAGGGTTTGTGCGGCTTGCAGTGGTGGATCAAGGCGTTGTTTGTGCTTGAGACAGACTTGGCTGCATCATCAGTCGTTTCATCGCCTCACCAAACTGGGTAACTAGCTGGCTTCACAAACAGCAAATCTTTCCTTTCCAGCTCCCTCACCTACACATATGGCAGCATACCCAAAAGAATGATATAGCCGTCATGTTCCGGCGCAAACGGAGTGTCTCTCATGGGGTAAGTGACCGTCTCTATCAACCCGCTGTCTGACCTTCAAGCTCTCCCACCCCCACAAATTTGTTGGCTAGATGGCTGATCTGAAATTCGCTCCCAAACAGCCTATAAATCCCAATCCGTCGCCCTCCGCACAGACTGCTGCAGTTCAAGCATTTCGCGCATCCCAGGCAGCAAATGCAAATGCGAAACTGTCCTCTTCAGCTGCTGCTGCGGCATTGCGGAAACACACCCCAACTCCGACCTCGATTGAAGAGGTGCAGACAAGGCGCATGATCCAGAGGCAGCAATCTGTTTCGTCGATTGGAGCATCAAAAGGAAATGCGCGCGATCAGGATGTAACATTGCGAAGGTCGAGCAGTCTGGGCTCCATGAGCAAGAGGACGTTTCGGGAAACCTCACCAGGACCTAATGCACTGGCACGTTATATAAACCCCAATGATGAAATTGACCCGGTCCCTCCGCTTCCACAAGTTTATACGGCGAGAGCTACTTCGCATCGCCGTGCTGTCAGCAGTGGACCTACAGCTCAGCGGACAATTTCCGCCCAACACCAGCCTGGTAGAACCCACGAAGCAAGCACGAAACCGAAACATAACGGATCTGCCCGCTCCAAAGAGAACAATGTTGCTGGGCCTCCACTGGGCTTACAGAGACGAAGTAGTAGGAGTTCGATCAACTTCTCCTATCCCATTAATGCGCGCCCAAACTCTCCGCGACAGCCGTCAATTGCCAGCTTCACTGCGGATGGTGCCTCGCTACGCACCTTGTCACCCGTCGGGTCGCTTACAATGAACTCCAGACCACCCAAATGCGGTTCAAAAAACGAGCCGAAGCTTGATTTTCCGGGTCCAAACGCGCGGGGTATCTCGCCTCGCTCGACAAGTACAGAATCCCGCGCTTCATATACACGAGAAATGGGTCGTTCAGACAAACCAAATAAGCTATCTCCGGTGGGAATGAACCGAGAAAGGCCCCATTCCCAGCCACATACTCGTCTTTTGTCCATTTCTAATCAAAATTCTGAGCCTGGTTCTCCAAAACAACAATTCTCTACACCTGGAGAAGGTCACAAGCCACAGGAAAACACGCGAGATGGCGTTTTATATCAAGAAACGTACGAAAGTGGCCATCGTGACGTTGTAACTAAGGATTTCCCCACAGAAACACCCAGCAACACACGCATAGCAGACAACGAGAGATGTACACGAAACAGAGATGCTTCACCCGCTACTGCTTCCGATTCATCTCTACGCAATCCCTTGACGAATCACGGCCAACTTGCAGTCAAAGACCAGGTTCATCCTCCTAGTGAACGACTACAGGGCGAAAGACCGCCCTCCCTTAGCCCAACTCGATCCACGAGGTTTTCAGAAAGATTAGAAATAGTTTTTCCAGGAGAACATCTCCATGAGCCCCCATCACGGTCAAAATCTCCTGCTAAATCGGCATTGAAGTCCACAGGAATGGGAAACAATGTCACCTCCGACCGTCCGCTCCCGCATCATCTGAAAGCAGACACCCTCAGCGAATCTGACGGCACGTCTGTGCTTTCTGATGAAGGCTCAAAGCTGAGTTGGAAGAGGAAGTCTACAAAAGTAAGCTTCGAAGGTGAAACTGAAGTCGTTGGCGCTTTAACTAGTCCGCCAACCTCACCAGATTCAATCCCCCCCTCAAGCCCGCAACTGAAATGGAATGACAGCCTACGTAGCAGATGTAACGAAGCTGATGACTTTGACGAAGTTATGAAGCCTCGGCCTGCTCTTCCGTCTTTTGGGAGTATACGAGGTCGGAAAAGGGCCACGGAGGAAAGATTGACTATCCGAGGAGAGCATAGCAGACCATCTTTAGCAGATTCCGTGTTTGCTGACACGTTTTCAAACGATTCTGCAATCGGCGGACTTTTAAAATCTCACTCAAAACAAACAAAGCAAACGAAGGAGGATGCTTCGCTACCGCCGGAAGCTACTTTAGTTGAGGGGACGGGATCCGACACTGCCTCCATGAGCGAATCATCAAGTGATGAAGCTGACCCTAATGATTTTGTTTTGCCCGGACACTTGAATTCAAATCTGCAACGACACCGGACCGGCGTGTTAAATGAACTAGGTAACGGTCTGAGTCAATTCCCGTCAGACGCCCAAGAAGGGGAATCCCAAAAGACCGATACTGTTGTTCCCGTCATTTCCATTCAACCCGCTACTCCAATGTTTGAAGAACACCCGAAATCAAGCCCAGAAGAACTAGATCACATTCCTGGAGCCTTCCCGGGGACATCTAGTCAAGGTGAAGGTTTGGTCAGAGACGAACATGAACAGGATCACATTAGCAAGCAAGGAATCGACGAGGCCAGCGCGAAGGATGAGCCCGACGACACCGATTCTGAGTCTGGAGACAGCGTTTACAGTGATGCCCCAGAGAATTTCTCTGACCCTGAGGGAGATGGATTTGGCTCTATAAATGCGATTGTCTCTGATTCTACGCCGCAGATCCCGCGTGTACCTGAAGCGAGTAACCCTTCAGCTTTTACTGCTTTCGCTGTCAAGAACGTGGACAGCTCCTCTCAGCCAAGTTTAGAGGTTCACTCCCTCAAGAGTCAAAAGCAGACTGCCAGTTCGCCGACAATTCAAGAAGAAACCGTTCCTGTCATTATTCAGAACGGAGGCGGTTTGGATGATCAATCAATCTCACGGCCGATGGTACCAGAATTAAAATTGAACGGCAGGCCTAAAACCGGAAATACCTCTTCTAAAAAGCCAGACAGAGCCTCTACTGTACTAAGAACTGAACCTGCAATCGATTCCCACTTTTATCATGCAATTTCAACTGAGTCCAAAAATTCAGATGACCAAAATCCTGAAGTCCTGACGTCGCTTGAATGTCGGCAAACGAGTTCTATTTCTCCTGCAATTCGAAATAGCCCCAAGTTTTCCGGCCACAATCCTACAAGGTCTCAAACTGTATCCCATAGCGACTTTTCGCGGCGACCATTTTCACGACATGCCTCCAATGGCAGCGATTCATCCAGCAGTTTCAAACGAGAAAGGCGTCCGCGTGTGGATACCGGTACCTATACCTTACGGAGAACGATGAGAAACGGCTTCGGGCATTCTAAAATTGAGTCCTTTGACCTAGGAAAGTCGTTGGCTTCAAATGTGCATCATCATCGTCCGTTTTCATCTAGCGGTGGGCCTCCGATCCTGCGGACAACGTTACGAGATTCTGGATTTGGGTCACATGGCGAACCGCCTTCGTCATTTTCCGGTTTTAGAAGTCTTAGATCCAAACATTCGCCAGGGTTTGATCCGGCATTCAGATCCCGTTTCGTTGATTCCAGCGATGATGAGTATGGGGAGCACACATTTACCCCGGTGCGTGGAATTCCAAGGCGAAAGGGCGAGGTTGATGGAGATTCGACCGCTCTCGAGGACAGTTCTGATAGCGACGCCCCGCGACAATTAGTAAAAAAATCGCGTCGCAGAGGAGCCACGTCTAAGAAGGGTGCCCCTACTATTGCGGCGGCAGCGGCCAAGAAGTCGATTAAGGCCTCATCGGGCCCTAAAACTACCCCGGTAAACGCACAAATTGATTTTTATCATCCTGCAGGTGAGGAAAAGCCAAAAAAGAGTGTCCTCAGTCGTTTGAGTTTGTCGAGACGGCGTCCCGATGATGAGCAAAAGATCCGCAAATCTGGGCTCGAAAGCGCCGCAAGACGGGATACACCATTAGAAAGATCCCCGCTTGAGCTGGATGAGGTGCGCAATACGAAACTATACCTTGATCAAAGTACAATTCCTGCTACGGTTACCAGTATAAGCGGCCCCTTGACCCCAGTTGCCAAAAACAGGTGGTCTCGTTTTTCCCCTCGTTCCCATAGACAAACAAATAAACTCACTCGACATCCTGTCCAAACGGGGAGTATCTCATGGCCGTTGCCTGCACCAGAAGAAACCCCCCGTCATGCCACTCGACTGTCGTCGAATATCAGCGATAGCGGACAGGATCCCCGACCCCGTGCTACTAAGTCCTCCAGTTCTAGGGCCAATAGACCACATACGTCTGATGGTGTGGATCGCAGGACAGCGCAATTTGTCCCTGGAGATACCCTAAGTGATGTGGATTCCACTTGGAAATCCAGGTTTCTGCACCAGCGACATCACCGCATTGGCACGGACAGTACTCTCATTCCGGACGCTGGTGGCGGTTCATCAGTGGGAACAGTAGCGCTCAACGAAGGGAGGAAGAAGAGTAGGTTCCCAAGGCTACGGAAAGCATTTGGATTGTTATGACGCCTGATTCAGCATGTCTGTCTTCTTTTTATTTTCTTCCGTTTCGGACAATGTGTTGGTATGCTATCCCTTTTAATATGACCTCACGACAGTATATACGGACTATTAATGACTGATTTCATTGCGACCGCTTTCCGTTTCTATTGTTGCAATTGATTGATTGCTTATGCTGTAATCTTCTCTGCAGTTATCTTCAGTGCGGATAGGCTTCTTAATCATGGAGATACCCTCGGATTTGTATATTCCTTGTACTTCTAGCTTGTGTTGATTCGATACAAGATGTAGTCTTCTGAGCGATGGGCGTGTCAGCGGGTCGACGGGCAGAAGGTCAGTGGGCGGTTGTACTGGAACATACCAGTAATAGCTAGGGGGCGGCTGGGGGTAAATCGGGAACCCTTAGGGAAGCCACAGGCTTCAGCTCACCAGGTTCTTAGCACAAGGTTGCTGGGTTGTTATTTGGTATCACCAGGCAGGCCTACCATTTATTACTAGTTATTCCTACAGGCTACTGGCATGGTTCTTATATCTAAGAGTTCCCAATTAACCCCCAGACCCAACTAGTATCCTCGGTATCGCCAGTATGTTCCAGTACAACTGCTTGGTGAGCTTCTGCCCGTCGACCCGCTGACATATAAATTCGTCTTATAAATTATCAGTAGAAAATATTTTCATTTTGAAACATGCTCGACGCCAATTTCATGCCCTGCAGGATCGATAAAGCGAAATCCATCTGTCCATCAGTCTATATCATGAAGTTTGCGGACACCAGTTAGGTCTCGTGAAACATATCCATTGATAGGAATGACAAACTCGGGTAATCCAGGGGTTGCATCCAATTATACTCTGTGTGGTCTCGGTCCAATTCCATGGGTCAACTCTTCATCCTCCTCTAGATCCTTGATATCCCGACGCTGTGCCTGAGTTTTGAGTTGCAATCGGCATTTTTGGATGCGGAGGTTGGCGGCTTGGCTCATGTCAGCAGCTTCACCTTCTCGTCTGAAGATGACGGGGACGCCGACTGTGCAACAACATCACCTGCTTGCTCTTCAATCACTCGCCCACCCCTTTATAACTACCTAGCTCCCTCGTTCAATAGCATTTATCTATAGTGTTTATTCTTCCTAGTATCACTCTGTCCTACAGTCTCATCGCGGTCCTATTCCCTAGTCATGAAACACCTCTCCCTTCTGGCACTCGCCGCTGTCGCTCCAACCACGGCCCTAGCTGGTGTGATAGATCACCAGCAAGTTACCTTTGAGAAACCACCTACACATAATCAGATTGAAAAGTTCCTGATTCAGCTCGGCCCTGGAGAATCACGATGGGTGACAGAAGAGGAGAAATGGGCTCTGAAACTGGTAGGCTTCTACGTCCTGGTTAGTCACATCATAACTAATCCAGATATGGCCGTCTAGGAAGGCATGAACTTCTTCGATATCACCGCCGAATCAGACCAGGGCTTCTCAGTCAAGAGCTTCGAGCAAACTAAAGTAACCTATCCCTCGGAAATCAAATACCAAAAGGAGCTAGCGCCGTTGTCGAAAGACCTTTCCAAGGGTAACATGCGCGAGAACCTCGTTAAATTTACCTCTTTCCACACCCGATATTACAAATCGGAAACCGGTGTTCAATCCGCAACCTGGCTGCTCGAGAGGGTGCAGCAAGCGATTGACGACTCGGGCGCATCCAAGCACGGTGTAAAAGTTGAGAAGTTCAACCATCCATGGGGCCAATTTAGTATCATCGCAACTATCCCCGGAAGATCGAACAAGACTGTGGTCGTCGGTGCGCATCAGGATAGCATCAACCTATTCCTACCATCGATCCTTGCTGCACCTGGTGCAGACGACGACGGCAGCGGGACGGTGACTATTCTCGAGGCATTCCGTGTTCTGCTGCAGTCAGATGCGATACGGGAGGGCAAGGCTGCCAACACGGTTGAGTTCCATTGGTATTCGGCTGAGGAAGCTGGTCTTCTTGGCTCTCAGGCAATATTCTCGGAATACAGTAAGACTGGGAGAGATGTTAAAGCTATGCTGCAGCAAGACATGACCGGCTACGTTGAAGGAACGCTGAGGGCCGGAGAAGTGGAATCTGTCGGTGTGATAACCGATTTCGTCGACCCAGGATTGACGGAGTTTATTAAATTGGTTATCAAAGGGGTGAGTCTGGCTTGATTTGAAATCCTCGCAAGGCATCATCAGCTAATGAGTTCTTCTTTCTGGCGCTAGTATTGCGACATTCCCTTCGTCCTGACCAAATGTGGCTACGCCTGCTCGGACCACGCTTCTGCTAGCCGATATGGATACCCGTCTGCATTCGTCATTGAGTCCGAATTCAAACGGTCCAACCAGAAGATCCACACCACATCAGACACAATTGAGCTCTTGAGTTTTGACCACATGCTTCAGCATGCAAAGATGACGCTTGGCTTAGCGTATGAACTTGCCTTTGCGGAACTCTAGGTCCGAATTCGTTCAAACTGTCTGGTAAGGGATTTTTTGCTTGGATTTGGGGTTTTCTTGCGCAGTTTTTCCACCGATGAATATTATTACCCCTAGAGTGTACACCCTCATAGCCTTCCTCTGAAGTATGGCTATCATCTAGAGAATTCTATTGTTAATAGAGCATAGACAATGAAAATATCTAATGAATACTAGGTAATGTTCATAACTTCAGATGCTGCTCTAGATCATTGATTGTTCAAGTTACAAGATGAAAGTTGCTGTTGTGGCTCTAGAACAGGAAAATTCAATGATTTATTTCAAGGGCCTTGTGCACGGCACCTAGAGATAAATGTAATGCCAGTGATGACTATTGTCCTGCACACCTAGATAGCCATGTATGCATTGGCTATTGCCGTCGGAAAGAATTATATCAGAGTGCAGAGTCAAGACGGTTATCAGGTACACCGATTCCTAGCGTCAACATGGAGATTTGGAAAGGGTTGATGAAAAAAAATTAAGATTGAAAAAGAAGCCATAGAACACCAAAAGGGAGCCATATCGCATGCATATCTCAGGAAAACAATGGATGCGCAACGTGACAAAAACTAGCGAACCTAGAAAATAAGGTCCCGCTAAAGGTATAAAGCTGCAAAAAACGCCGGTCCCATGAGAGTATACATATCAAAAGAAATTTCCAAAATAGCCGACTAGCAGCAACGGAATGATAAGGGCGCTATTGCGCAAAATCTGGGTGGGATTCGCCGACGACCCGTTAATTGTCCTATCGACATCCACGGTGTATACATACTGCGCGGTTATGTTTGTCGAATTGAAGCAATTTTCTCTGGTGATTTTCGGGACATCCTCTGGCTCGGCAAAGGTGATGTCGACGCACTATGGGTATCAAGTCAGCCAGGCTCAGCGAGGCATAGGGATATTGATGTACTCACGTTATATAATGCAGCTCCGTGTTTTGCGATTTCGACAAGCTGGATGGTAGCATTGTCGCCGACTTTGACACTGATGTTGGCGGGCAACGGAATTTGCGGCAGACAGAATGTGCCCGGATAAGGCTCAACTGTTGGGCCAACGAGATTGATTGGTGGGACCATCGGGTGGCTCATGTTCAATGGCTGATTCCGAGGCCAAGGTTAACATAAATGAGCGCTGTTTTATGACCAGGAAACCATCCAGGCTGAAAGGATATCCCTCCACCTTTTACGGGCCATTTGGTTCGGTTCTGGGATGTGGGCATTCCGCCACCTAACGGATGGGAAACCAAGGTCAGTAAAAAGACCTTCGCTTCAAATGGATCGAAATCTCATCACTGACATGGATATAGCCACTGCATCCCAAAGGGATACAAATAGTCTCGTTCTCCAGTGGCATTTTTTGGGTATACAACGCTCAGGCCGTTCGTGTCTTCGACTGTTCCGTTCGAATGAAGATTGTTTCCCCGCCATCCTGGGTATACGATAACGGTATGCGCTCGAACAGTACTTGCGAGAAGTAGAGAAATGGCAACGGCCCACCAAGAGCCTAATGAGTGTCGTTGCTTCATTTTGAGTATATCTGAGGCGTGACAGCAGGAGTCAGATGGGGTGAAAGTTCGTGAAGCGGTTAAAAGCCAAACCGGCGCTTGGAGGGATCAGCGTCTGAAAGCAAGGTGAACGATAAGGAGCTTCACCCTCGTCACTCTCCAACAGCTATGGTTAATGAGTGAAGCAAGAAACACTGGCCATCAACAGAAGAAAATGATTCAATGAGTCGGAGAAGATGATAAAATGACTTGGGCGGCTATGTATCTGGGGTGAGGAAGATCGACCTGGGATCCGATAAACAGCTAACCCGAGAAGAGGAGAAGCGACGAATCGCCACTGGAGGTCGTACAGGGGCCGGATTTGTTTTTCCAATCAATCACTCAACTAGAAACCTAGCCCCCAGAGTCAAGGCTCAATAGACGGCGGCGCGAAAATCACCCGCGGATCAGTGAGCTTCGAGTTTGTCGTGGAGTCCAGAAGCTCTTGACATCTGAGTCGACAACCACTTGCTTCGAGATCAGTTCTCCCACAGTGCATACTTCGCTTCAGTTCCATGTCGATGTCTTTTTGGCAGTCCCTGCAGACTCCAGCAAATCACGGAGAGGAGACGTGCTGCATGCAAGGCTGATGTGATGGCAACAGGCCAATTGCATGGCCGGTCACATTGGCCCGTTGCGTGCATCCTTGTCTGACGGCTGCGATTCGTCGAAGCCTGGACTCTGGAAGCGCCCGCACTAAACGAGAGTTTCCATCCCTGCTAGTTATTACTAAGCATGAGCATGATCCTCTTCAGATACATATGATTCTAACTACTCCGTACCTACACCCTAGCCATAATCGATATCGTCGCCGACCGTTATTTAGCTGAGGTACCTTAGGAGACCATATTCTCATGTTGAAATCAACTGGAAATCATAAAGGGAGTCCGGACTCGCTTTAACGTCCTTATAAGCAACCAAAGCTTAAATTCCACAGATACCAGCAGGGCAAAGGGAGTATATGCAGGTCCTCTCTGAGGTTGGTTATTACATGGAACACACAATGCGCGGTACGGTTATGTCTTATCTGACATTGAATTGGTACCTATTAAAGGGCTAGAGGCGAGAGGGAATCTGCTGGTTGCACGTGCTATACCATGGGAAGCCAAGAGACCTGAACGTCTAACGGTTCTCCTGGGACTGTGGTACCTTGGGATGTTAAAAGTGCAGCAGATGACGACTGACAGCTTTTGTAATCTTATTATTCACGGCGTCTCCTCAAAAGTAATTCTTCTTAGTAGAATTTGGTATTGGGTGGGAGACCTTTTTTCTGGTCTTCTTCCTGTAGAGATTATTAGTATTACTGCATAAACATAGGGTAGCGAGATGACAAACAAGCAACTGCCCGAAACTTTCAACAACAGCAGTTTCAAAGTCAATCCGCTGATGTTCCTTCCGTCCAATTGGGCTGTTTTCGGGGAGAACGATTGCGGTATCAAAATCAATCCACACAACTCTCTCAGGATCACCAGGAACAATCATAATGTTCTTTGGATAAGGATCATTGTGCTCGACTCGAGCAGAGTGAATTTGCTGGAGGCCAATAACTGCCTTTCGCAATCTCTCTGGGGTATAAGTGACGCAGTTCAATAGCAGAGGCTTTGATAGATACTCAATTAGAATGGCACAGGGAGGGTTGACATCTTGTCGAAAAGCGTCAAGATGAGGAGCACAGTTCGCCGGGTCGATATCTACCGCAAACCCGTAAAACTTCGGAACGAAACCAGTATCACATATTCCGAACTGTTTGAGGCGGCAGTAGGCACGAATTTCGCAGCGAGAGCGGTTTAAATCCCGAATACGGTCCGATGCATACCCAGGATCTCCGTTATTATGGAACTACGTCCGTATCCCGATTAGAAAGTCGGACAAAGCTTGAGGTCAGGATGAGGGCACATACAACTTTTAGAACTCGGGCCTTGCCATAGTAGTTGACATGGAATATTGACGACGCCTCTGAACTTCTCAGGGTTTCGACAAACTCCACCTTTTCAAAATCAATGTCGATCTTGAGGCTCTCATCAAATCCTGTCTCATCAGAGTAAATGGTATCGGCCTTCCTGATCGGTCCAAAGGTCTTTGGCATGGATATTAGGGCGCTGATAGCGAGTGAACTAATAAGGGCCTTTTTGGTCCGAAATCAAAATTCTTTTAATAACAAACCATATGAAGTGGATTTTATAAGATCTTGACACTGAATTTGCTATGGAGCTCGGAAACAAAGCTGCTATGCTCAATCCGTAGTACAGTAGTTGTAATCCGCCTGCATTCTTCATGGAGTTTGAACTAGAGCTTCCAGGCAGGTTAACGGATCACACAGTGTCTTCAATTGCACGCGTCTCCCATATAAATTCACACAAAGGTCCGTTGAAAGAATTCGACCTCGAACCAAACAAGCCCTAAAAATGTTGAAGCATCTGGTGATCGTTTGTACAGCTAAACACATGGAGGGAGGTGAGGATGAATGTCGCGGCTATGGAGTGTCGGGACCAGTTTGCCCAGCACCTTGGTGCGTCACGTGAGAGCCTAACATCAAACTTCTTTTGGCGGGAGTTTTGGAGGAGTCGAGCAACAGGACGGTCGATTCCCGCTGCGTTGCTATAACCCTCCATTGTTGCTATGCCACACGGTTCCCGCAAGAAGAAATCCCCACCGGCAAGACGTATCCAAATTCTTGACACCGATGGCTGGACACACATCGCTTCAACCAGGGCAACCACGTCTCGTCCGCGACCTCCAAAGCTCAACGAAGGCCAGATAACACCCGCAGAAATCCCAGATGGACTCACGTTTGAAAAGTTGAAAGAGAAATATGACTGGCATAAGCAACGATGGGTGGAATCGGAAAGTTGGGCCGCGATCGAGCAAGTGCTGAAGCAACAAGTTTCCAGGGACCCAGGAACCATCTACAACTGTGTTTGCATTGGCTTAGGAAGCCCAAGCGGTCTTTCACGCGGAGGATGGGTTGATCGGAGGAGTATATCGATGTTTCAACTTGCGGCTTTGGAGCTGATACTGGAATTTCTTGGTAGGTCTGTCGAATTGTGCAGTTGGGCCATTCTAGGGAAGCTGATGAGTATCCTCCAATCTCGGATTCCGCACGAGGATATAGCTCAAAACAAAATGATTGATATCGAACATCTCTATGCTCAAGATCCAGTCTTTAATCATATGGACAACAAGCTGCTCAGGTCCATTGGGTTCAAAGTGGTCCAAGACCCTGAAGCGTTTTCTAAGGTCGGCACAAGGACGTTTCTCTATGCTCCTGGCGCCGAAAAGGTCCATCTCGCGGATTTATTCGCTCGAGATCCCGTTGTTTTTTTCGGAAACTCCTTTGATGACATTCACGCAGTAAACCCAGATGAAGATACCCACCGATCATTTTCACAAAAAAAAAGTTCACTCCTTCTTCCTGAGTTTGAACCAAACCCAAGTGCCTTTTGGAAGATGGCATTGTATTGGACTACGGAGGAAAAGCGGAGTAACGCGCTCCCTGCCGTCCCTTAGGATTCATCTTTACATATACAAAAAGGACCTTGGAAACCCCGGCCCGGCATTCAGCCGACAGAATGCAGTGCGAAGCAGATTAGGTGTTTAAATACCCATCTCGCATTTTCCCTCCAGCAATTTTCCCTGGGAAATATAGGCATGCAGACTTGAAAACCCACAATTAACTTTGACCCTCGTGGGCAGAAAATGATTCAAACGAAAAGGGATGATTTGTATAGTTGGATTTTACCTAGGCAGAAGACTAGTGTATCGGTACGGGTTGAGACTTGTACAGTATTTTCCGTGATCTTCGGGGTATCTTTCTCAAGGTCCGAGAAGTGCTGAATTCTAGCAAGCAATGCAAGTTGGGGAAGAGACCAATCATTTCGGCACCATAGCTTTTACCTACAGAGAACAAGCCTCATGGGCATCTTTGTAGACTCGGTTCCATGAATCAGATGTCAACACGTCGGTGGGAGAAAGAGCAAATGGGAGGATTGAATGCGCTGGGATTTATGCGGCACTGCATTTTCCCCAGCCCGTCAGGAGAACTTCACATCTCCCTCTGTCACATCCAAGTCGGTCTCCGAAATCAACTCCTTGCCAATCCTCCAAAGGCGCTCCAGCCATGACTTTCGAGCCACACAATCTCCTGGTTGCCCTCAAGATCGCACACCTCGAACCCGGATTCGATGCCTTCGTGGAGCACTGCCTTGCAGAGATTCCTATCGAATACTCATCTCGTTTCAAAGAAGACATTACGTGCCACGTGCGGGTGAAAGAAGCACTCGATGAGTTCGATCAGAGAGGTCTTATCAGCTTCATCATGAATCTTGCTACAATTAAAACCGAGGCAAATATGCATTAGACAAATCCATTGTCATACGGAGTAATTCTCCCTGAACATATCGTTTTCTCTCACCACACCCTATCCGGGTTTTCTCCGTTAATACCTGGTTTCCTCAGGTCGATATCGTCTGCAGCTCCTAATTCCACGTTAGTCCTCTTCAAGTGTTACCGCAATGGCTTCTTCGGTCAGGTTCACCTCGTTATCTGATGTACATCATCCCCATCTTCAACCGACGTTTCGCTCAAATCTAGTCGACGCTGCTTTCGCCCTCTCTCGTAACTCTTGTACCTGCCGGCGTTATCGTTAGGGTCTTCACCTCACAATCCTCTGTATCATAACTCACATCACACGTCCACTCTCCCTGTCACATCGTACACTTCGACCTCAGCACCACTGAGTGTCACACTCTCCCTTGCTCTGGCACATACACCTGTCCCATGGTATAATCTTCGCTTTCAAACAAAACTCTCCTTCGCACGATCTTCCGATCCTTCACATCCCTCCGCTCAACAAGCACGCCTCTCCGCGCGCCCTCGACTTCCGTCATCCTGTCAACGAACAGCTGTCGTTCCGATAGTCCATCCGCTTCGTCGAAAAAAACCTCGTAGCTCCGCAACGAATCTGCCATGTCTGGAGATATCTCATACCCGTATCCGACGACCTGCGACTGTTCGATCCCTTGGGAAAATCTCAACCACACTTGAACCTTTGATCGCGAGGTATCGTCGTTGATAACACTTAACGTAGTAATATCCTCAACGTCATGCTTCGTGCTCGTCCACTGAACCAACTCCTTCTCGTAGTTTTCAACCACGAAAAAAGGCTTCAGCTTATACACATACTGAACATGACGTATCCTTCTGGGCAAGCCGAAACTCATTCCAAATAAAGTAGAAATCTTTGTCTTCACTTAGAGAGTACTATCGGACAAGAAGTTATCAAAGGAAGAAGCAATCCTTTCCCCAGAAGAGACGGGGGAATCGCCTGTATTTATACTCGGTCACGGACGTCCTGACGGTTCCCCTCCCATGTTCTTCGATATTTGATTCTTGACCGACACTGTACCGTTACTGGTACTTTACCTGGGCCGGGCTCACCCTCCCTGGCGGCCCAACTTCTTAGCATGTCGAGCGATGGCTTCCCTCCTTCCGGTCCTCCACGCGCTGGCGCATCGCTGGTGACCTATATCCCACCAACATTCTCATCGAGGCAGGCCGTCTGTCAGGAACTGTGGACTGGGAATATGCATGCTACTTGCATGAGTACTGGGAATACACAAAAGCGTTGCATACGGACACAGGAACCGAACTGTGCGGCGATGTGTGGCGCCGTGTATTGGGACTGAATATGATTAGGAGTTGAAGATGGATACCTTGATGTGCGACTGTCCCCCCTGGCAGCGGAGTGGTTTCACTGTCGTTGACTCACCCGTTTACTCTTCAATCTTTTGACGGGTGCTTTGTGCCATTCCGGACACAAACATCGGGCTCAATCAAACACCCTCAACCATGTGCATACAGTGCATAGCAGTCAAAACTATCTTACTGCAGGCAGCAATATGGCCAAAGATACTTGCCTTTCTTGGTATCTAGCACTTGATAACAAAGGCCTTGTCCCCAATCCCACCTAGCGAATATCCTTGCTATCAACCAGAGTACCAAAGAAATCCGCAATTTCAAGAAGAGCCATCTACAAAGCGACGTAAATCAGCACCGGCCACATCAAACAACCCGCACAACCCAGACACATAGTTACATACCTTGGTCACTTCCTCACCACTATATCCGGGAAGATCTCGATCACCCACCCCATCCTGCGCAACCACAACATCATACCCAAGCTCATTCGCACTCCTCGCCGTCGTCGACACACAAACATGCGCCTAAAAAGAAAGCACCACCCCATCAGCTCCCCATCCATCCCCTCTTACCCCCTCTCAAACCCCAAGCAGGAAACAAAACTCACCATATACCCCACCAGCACCACCTTCTTCCACCCCTCGCCCTTCAACCACTCATCCAGCCCCGTCCCCGCAAACGAACTCGGCAGCTCCTTGACCACCACCTTCTCCCCCGCCAGCGGCTTCAACTCTTCAAACTCCTCCGCCAGCGCCGTGCCGGACGTGAACACCGGCGCGCCCTCGGGCGTCTTGTGCACCACGTGCACGATGTTGGTCGTCTTACCGGATTTCTGCGCCGCAGCACGGTAGCGGGAGAGGAGGGAGGAGATGACGGCGCGGGATTGGTCGACGGCGCGGACTTTGAGGAGGCCCTGGGCGTATCTGGAGTTTTGTAATATATGTCAGAAAAAACAGAGAGAATCGGGGTGGGAAATTTTCTGACTCGTTTTGGGCGTCGATGATGATGAGGACGCTATCGTCCGGGGACGCTGTGAGGGGGGGTATCCCCGCCATGTCTCGGAAGAGGGCCATTGTGAGGAATTTGTTGCTGGCGATTGATCTGTTTGATTGTGAAGGATTTTGGGGCTGGAGGGAGTGAATTGTAACAGCAGCTCTTGTGAATAAATAATATTTTGGAAGAAAGATCAGAATTAATCAGAATTAATAAGGCGTACCTAAGGATTAATCAGTATTTGTAATCTCCGCCTCTCTTTTCCCCGCATTTCCCCAAGGGTTCGCGCCAAGAACTTTCCGCTGAGCCGGGAATAAACGCCGAAGGGGAGTTGGGGAAAGTTGAACGGAGAACACATCATCGAAAAGGGGTAAACAAGGAAATATTATATAGATTGTATGTATATACTACGCTCATCGCTAAACAAAAACAAGGCGCGAGAGGAATACATGACCAAAAAGAAAAGGGGGGTTAATTATAAAACAGGTGATATGCCTGGGTGGTATATTGACAAAGAAGAACAAAACCATCATCAGCAATTGACAGGATATTTACTTGTCAACAGTGTGAAGAGGTTAGATAGTTAAAAAAAAAGAGAGGCTAAATCACCAAAAGTTGACGAGAAAGAATTGTCCAAAACACCAACCTGGTGGGGAACCACTTTTCAGCAAATTTATAGCTGTGATTGGGGAAGGGCCAAGGAAAGGGAGTCAAGACAAGACAAGGCCGAGGTTGCGAAGGAGAGATAGGAAATAGGGGAGGGAATGCAGGAGCAAATGATGATTCAGAATGAAGATGAGCGAGGAGATAAAAAGGTAGGGGGAGACAGGAAGGTTGGTTGTACCAGGGGGTGCAGCAGAGTAGGCAAGATCAATATACCACGAGAGCAAATGTATAGACAGAATTCACAAAATAAAAAAAGTGTGCTTGCAAAAACTAACAGGTTGCAATCATGAAGCCCAGTCCTCAGGATATAACGGTCCGGGGAAGTTGTATGTAGCTAGGAAACAGGAATTGTATATACTATACCTCTGGCTCCCCCTCTTTCTGGGGTATATGCAAAATAGAGAGAGAAAGCGCGCAGAGCATGATAGACAGAGCTGTCGAATCGATCAGGATATGGTCTTGCCCCCGCAGTCTGGGATCTTGAGGCCAGGCTTCAGAACCCGTCCGGGGTCCATGAGGCCCCATTTGTCTTCCCATTCTTTGCCGGGTTCGTTATACTCGATTTTCCAGGGCTCGTCGAACGCTTCGAACCTACAGACAGAGATTTTGACGTTAGCAAGGACCTTGGCAAAGAGTGACTGAGGCCCCTTTGGTATAAAATCTTTATGGAACCCACCAGAAGTAGTCCGTCCCATTCTTAAGCGCCTGGCACACCCAATCGTCCATGAACTTATTCATCTCCTTGACACCCGCCACCGAACCGGATTCCGAATCCGTGCACGGCAGCTCCCCGCAGTTGCTCCCGCCACCGCTAGGCCAGCCGACTTCAGAGATCACGCTCTTCTTCTTGCCCCCGGTCACCACGGCGTCCTTGTTCTTCCAAAATTCATACGTCCAGCCCGCCGCCTCCTCGACGGGAACTTTGCCGAAGAACGGATGTACATTGGCCATGACAATGTCCGCGATGTCGGCGAGTTCCGCCGTCCAGGCGTCCCCCAGATCTGACGTTGTAACGGGGACATCGATGCTCATCTTGGTGAGGTTGGACTTGACGCCATCGATGTAGTCACCCAGGAGCTTCAGGGTCGCGGGGGACTTCTTGCCGCGGAAGAGCACCTCGTTGCCAACCACGACGCCTTTGAAGACGGATTTGTCCTTTCTCTCTTTGACGATCTTGTACATCTGCTCCAACTGCCGGTCGTTGGTGGTGAGATTCTGGTGGTCGATCCAGACGCCGACCCAGAGCTTCATATCCTTGAGTCCGAGTCTGTCGATGGCGTGGAGGACCATCTCCGTCTGGTTGCAGTCTGTGCCGTAGAGTCGTAGCGTGTTTGTAAGCTGCGAGAGCACTGCGACGTCCCGCGTAACGTTGTTCTGGCTGGGAGGGTATTTCAAGCAGAGCGGGTGCTGCGTGCCCCAGGGGGTGTAATCCATCCCAGGGAAGACTCTGTGCAAATTGGGGTTGTTCATGAGCGCCTTGATCTCGTCCGAGTCCTTGCCCAGGTCACCATTCATCCTCTCGTCCTCGTCGGCTGATTGACCACCTCCACCTCTCGTGCCGCCAGACGGCGAGCTTGACTTGTTCTTGGATGCCAACAACCCGCCCGCAACTCCACCGGCGATACCTCCGACTATGAGGAGCAGAATGACGATACCAATCGTCCACTTGAGCTTCTTCTTGCTCGCCTTTTGCTCAACCAGCCATTCGCTCTTCTCGTCGGGAACGGCGTTGTACGATGGCCCACCGTCGGGACTACCGCTCGTCTGGCCGGCGACGCGGCTGGCGAGAGCGCCTACAGCGCCAGCACCGGCAGCTCCAGCGGCACCCCCGCCATTCGAGAGGCTCTGATGGCTCGAGTTCTTCCCGAGTGTACTAAGCACCGACTTTCGCTTTGGATCCGGAATAAACCCATCGTCGCCGTCGTCGACAATGTCGTTGGGGTTGATGGGCTCGTTCATCGGCTGCCATGAGGTGCGCTGACGGTGGTACGGATCACTGTAGGTCCCGTTGAGCCCGTCATAGTGCTGGTTATACTGTCCATTGCCATTGTTCAGGCTCCGGTCCGACGGAGTCATGCCGCCGCCCGGTGAGTAGCGTCCGCTCCCTTCCATCCCAGGATTCAGCGGGACATTGGACGAATACGACGCCGGCGTCCTTGCCATGGGCACGCCGTCCATCGCGGCATGCTCGTGCGGGTAGTAAGCCTGATCGGGCGGGCTGTAGGGGCCGTGTCCCCGCGACGCGTCCAGCCCGCTCTGGCGCTCGTGGGTGTGGGCGATTCCGGCGGCGATGCCGCTGATGCCACCGCCGGCAGACATGGGGCCCAGGTTATCGGCTCCCGGCGACACGGTGGAATCGGTGTGGCTGGTGTGCGACCGTCCTAGGGGCTGCGCGACGGGCGGATGGGGCCGCTGGCCGCGCGAAAACGACTGAGGCGAGGCGGCCGAGTGATTCGGCATGCTGGCGGGATACTCGTCGCCATGCTGTCGCTCGCTCCTCAGCCGGTGGTAGGCGCTATCTGGATGGGCGGCCGGGTGGAAGGCGGGCTGGTTGGGGGGCAGTTCGTACTGGTAGTTGGGCGGGTAGGCGTGCTGCTGGTGCTGCTGGTGCTGCTGGTGCTGCTGGTGCGCGAGGTGTTCCCGCGAGCCGTGCCACTGTCGACTGTCGTTTGGGTCGCCGTAGGAGGCCTGCGGGTGGTAAGGCATGTCAGTTGCGCGACGGGGCGTGGTTCAGGTACATGCACGGCCGGCTGGATCCGCAGCACATGGAAGGTTGCACGACTTGTGAGTAATAGGCGTTCTTGCACGACCAGGGAAATCGAGCGACAAAGAGAGACGGAGAGAGAGTGAGCGAGAGACAGAGAGACAGAGAGAGAGAAACGAGGGCCAAGTGAGACTGTCAAGGGGGAAATTGAACGAGGAACCTAACCGAACCGGCTCTAGTTTGGTCGGGGGGCAGCGACAAGGAGAGACTGAGATGATCTGAGATACGATCTGAAGACTGAAGTAGTCAATTGAATAGAATATTGAGAATGAAGCAGAAGTGTCAAGAGGAAGACTGTTCGAGTTGCGCAGCCAACGGCATCAACACGGCCTCATCGTCGCCCTGGAGACAAACCGCTCTCTCTCTCTCTCTCTCTGCAACACGAGGCCTGTTTCTTACAACTCTTCTCAACCAGCACGACGGTTGATCAGATATCTACATCTTTTCTCATATCCTCCGCTTCTTCTTCTCCCAATATCCTCCCTCGCCAACACCGCCCAGGCCTACGCAGCATCGCAGTGTTTCAGTCCAGAGTCACCCTTCCCGCCGCTGCAACTGAGACATTGACGCAGCCCCCCTCCGCCCCGAATCCCTGAACACACACGGCTGGGTCTGCTTTCTTTTCCTTTTGCTTGTTGTTCGCCGGCCGTGAATTCATAATTAGTTAAACCATGGAAAAAACCCCCATTGGGAATTGATTTCTTCATCATCGTCGTCAGTATTCAAACAAGTCCAACGCCCAAATCATATACATACATCTGCTCAGACCGGAAAACAAAGTACAGCCCAACAAAAAAGAGATATCTATGTCCGTAATCGCAGTTCTTTTTGCTTCGTTTGGCAAAAAGGAGTGCCCCGTATTTCCCCCTCGTCCCAATATATACTGCCAGAAAGTAAATAGTTATATATAAAAAAAAAAACAAAGAGCCAGAGGCCTTTCCTCCAGTTCTATTATTCCCTTTCCCAACCGCAAGAAGAAAAACAAAGAAAAAAAAGACAAAGGTTTCCCCCAATTGCTGATTCCCAGTATAAAACAGTCTTCCCCGATCCCATTGCGAATTCCCTTTTCTTTTAATTGGTAGCATCTCGTTTCATCTCGTCTGGCTAACTAGCCTTCGACTTCCTCTGCATTTCGCGCAGAGCTCGAAGTCTCAACCGCCGCCGGAGAGCCAGACTTGTCCCGCTTCCCGCGCTCCAGCCATCGGCGCTTGCCGACGCGCGTCTCAAAGTGATACGCGATGTTGGCGGGCTCCTGTCCGGCCGTGAGCATCGAGTTGCGCATCTTGTTCCGGTACGCATCCACTGCAAAAAAAGAAACACGCCGTCAGTTTTGGGACCGCCCCGCGCTTTTCCACCAGTCGAGGTTGGCGGGAAGAGAGAAAAGAAAGAAGGAAAAAAAAAAAAAGGAAAACTTACACGCTCGCTGCAGGAACAGCGTCCGGCCAGAAAACACCCGGCTCTGGCCCCAGCTCATCCGATACCCCAGATCATTCAGCAACACCTCCTTATCCCGCTCCTC